TTTGCAGCTTTTAAAAGTCTCTGATCTCTTTCTGAAGGAACGAAGGAAATTTATTCCAAACATAGATAGCTTGCAATTTTTAATAAGTACTTTCTTCATCCATTGGTCATTAATGAGTATGTGTAAATCTTACTAATTCCAAAAAAAACCAATTGATGATGTTTTGATCATGTGATGCAACACATGACCTTTGTCATCAGTATTGTTGCCACAAAGAAAAAGTTTGTATGGAAAAATATTGTCCATGGTAGTTTCAGACCAGTTGGCTGCATTTTTGCAGAGATATAGCTGTTTATTTTCTTAAGGCCGTTTACCCCCCTTACCCAGGGGAGAGATTCCTATGAATTGAAATTGTTAAATTAAACACCTAATTGAAGTAATGTTACGTTCAAAATATACTCATAGATCTTCAATTAGAGACCATCAGACCAAAAGGCACCATTTAATCAACTGTTCATGTACTTTCAAAATTGATGGCCAAACAACTACTAGGGTTTATTACACTTACATTATTGTACTTACCAGTATGTTCTTTTTTGCAGCAGCTACATCACCCAAATATTAATAAGATAAGGCCAATAAGATGCTTGTGGAAACTCAAGGTGCACCATTAACTCAGAACAAGTGAAATGCAAATGAGTTAGATATCATCATAAGAAAGAATAGAAAAGTGAACATAAGATCCACAGTATTGGACTAGACTCTTAACAATCATTCATTAACAGATTGGTTACTTTTGCAAACATAGCTTCAAAATCCACTCATGACACCATTGACATCAAGGCAAAAGTTCTCACCAAGAGCGAGGAAAAGCAGATCATTGTTAAAGGACAGGCTTGCTTAGCAACAGATTATGTTGTTGCAGACCCTAATGGTACAATGAGGTTGGAGCTATAGGAAGATGCCATGGACCAATTGTTTCATGGAAAGTCATATCACATTCAAAATGATGATATGGAAGTTAATGATTTCTTTATAACAAACACGCAAGAAAATGTTATCAAAGGGAAAATTATGGGTGAAGATGTCACTTGAAAAGGTTGTTGCTTCTCTGTAATGTAAATATGCCTATGCCAACAGACCATTCAATGATAAGTTATAATAATTGCAAGAATAATTTTTTGACATCAATAGTTAAATATAAATTAGTGTGCAAAACGATTATTAAAGTGATGATAAGCTGTCCAATTAACATTTTAATGTTACCCTTGAAAGTTTCCTATCAGTCAATACAAACATTTTTAAATATTTACTCATGTAAACATGGGGTACAAAAAATAAATCATATCCATGAAATATTAGTGATACAAAATAAAGCAACTTTTACTAATTCTATTCTTTTCTATTATTCAAGTAACATTATTTTCTACTATTCAGAAATTAATAAGTGACAGATATAATTATTTTGCACAGTACATGTAAGAAACCAGTATAATACACTAGCTCAAAACAAAAATAAGATTATTATCAAGTCCACATGAAATAACAAGGTTCTGATTTAATGTCTTTTCCCTATGTTCTAGTGAAAAGATAAAGTTATACTGTTACTTTATCAAAGATTCTTGTTTTCAATTCATTGCCATATTTTCATTTCTACCCCACCTCAAAAAGATTGACTTGCACTACATGTTTCTCCTGTTGTATATAACTTTGTTTATGACTTCATTCTATCATTTAATACAAAAGACCCTCACATATGTGCATAACATTCTGCAATACCACTCTGACCAATGCAGTGGCCACATGCAGTCTAGAATGCCTATTTTTTATTTGTTGCACATTTTACCTGCTTCAAGAGATTATTTCAGTGCTTTCAATAAGATTTGAAGTAGCTGGCTACCTTGGTAAAGCACATTCCAGAGGATAATATGAAAAAACAATTTCAATCTTGTTAGCCCATTAGTTCCATTAGAGTAAAATTGCTTCAAACAGAGTTTTCTGTAGCAAACTTTGGTAAATGATCATTTAATATTAATATCCTCCTTTGTAACATTTGTTTAACTGATTGTTTACTTCTAATCAAAATTTTTCCATTTGCTGAGTTGCAAACCTGTTGCCTGAGTTTCACACAAGAAGTCCTCTGAAAGGACATGTGGTTACTGGTTACTTAAATTTTAGCCAGCATGTTTTAGTAAACTCAAAATCCCTTATTTTTCCTAGAAATTTGGTTTACAGTATGATGAGAAAATATCAACAGTTTTTTAACTCAAACCTTTGTAAAAGGTTTTTTCAGCAAATGCAGCTTTATTCATACAAAATTTTAGACGCTTGAAAGAAATCTAAAAGACCTCCAGGTGTTTGAGGTCTCATTTCAGCTTTCAAAAAGTCACAGAAAGATCCAGATTGGTGTTAACCATCCAACATCGCATAATACTAGACACTTTCAGCAGGTAGTCAATAAAAATAAAACTAGATAATATCCAATGTGCATCAAATTTCCGTCTGCATGTTTTCAAAGTTTGGGGCTACGATCCAAACCTTTCTTCGCGTGATCTTTGTTTAAAGCTTTCTTCTGTTTGCAATTGGAAACAACCCCTCAGCCTCCTGCCTCGAACGATGAACGTATTTTTTGTGATTGCAAGTTTTTGGTTTGTTTTGTTTTGAGTTGTGTTATGTTGTGGTTTTTTTTGTTTGTTTGTTTGTTTTTTGGGTGAAATTAAAGATTTGCGGCAGTGAATTCCACCAGTTTTATTTCCTAGAAAAACCTCAGGATTATTCTCTTCTGCAGAATTGTTCAATGAAATATTTACATAAGATAATTGAATTAAATCAATCAGCCAATGAATTTTAGCTGTTCCCACGACTGGTGTTTTTAAACGCAGAGTATTTAATAGCCTATTTGTAGTTCTCTTCACAGCCAATTTAGCAAGGTCAACATCTTTGCAAAAAATTTCAAATTTGATTTGCGCGTGCCATCAACAAGCAAGCTGTTTTAACTAGTTTTAATTTCCAAGTTTGTTTTCTAACCAGCAACTGAGAAGAACTGCTGTTGTTTTAGTTATCTGAAAGTATTTATTGATTTTAGTTCAGCACAAATTTGTTTGAAAATTATTTAGGTAACCAACAATGTGTACTTCTTCTCCGAACCTGATTAACTCTTATAGAACACGCGAAACAAGCAGAGAAAGAAAACTGCTAGTGAAAGAATGAATCTAACAAACAAAGACTAAGGAGTTAAAAAATAACTGGATTGATTACTTGATTTTTGTTCTGTAAATTTAACTTGGACGTGGCAAAGTCTACCCGGCGATTCACAACAGAATACCCGCCGGAGATCCAACAAGTGCCGGGTGTTATTTGAAAGCACTGTATTTAAGAGGTCTTTATTCCACAGTCTCTGCGCATTCCCGTAGTTGTGCCGCATAATTAACCAAGGGAACCCGAAACCATATAAGAAAAAAAGAAAACCACGGGGCAAACCAAATGTGAGAAAAACCACAAACTGCAACAGACATCAAGTTTACAGTGAAAACCCGATCCAACGGTGGGCCAAAACCCAAAAATCCTACCGTGTTGAGAAGGAGTTTGATCACGGTCTTAGCTGGGCCTCTGGAGATCGTCAACTACGCCGCGGGAAACTCTAGTGTTTCTCTCGTACTCTCCAAGCTTCCCGCGCGCATCCATACTTCGATAATTGATAATTTTTGCTGAGTCAATCTCGGCAATCTTATATGCCTCTACCGCTATTGAAAAACCAACCATCCCCTACATGGAGTGATCTTAACAAAAAGAATCTGAAACGTGACTAATTTTATCTCAAGACTGTTCCTTTACCAAATTGAGACACAATGGAAGGAGAAAACAACATGGACCCAAAATTGCCGGGGCGAATCAGCTCTGAAATCTCTGAAATAAAAAACTTACCAAAGTTGCTCTTGACGCAAAACTCTCCGGGTGTAACTTCCGATGCTTTGCTCGACTAGTGCAGGCAATTACAATCTAACGGATTCAAGGTCACTACAATTTTGGCACCTGACTTGAAGTGACCATTAAATATAAGCACAGCGGTCGATCTGAGGGCATGCGCATAGGGATAATTTCAACCCCCCCTGCGCGCCTTACTTCCCGCCCAAAATCACAAAAATACGTCAAAGGCTTGAGAATTTAAAAGCCCTTTATTTAATTCCACGAGAAAAATTCATGTGATTACTTGTTAATTATGTACATGCAAAAATTTGACTCTCTTTTCTACCAAGCCGTATTTGTGGTTCACTGGTGCGGCCGCATGCCTTCGTGTTGTTACCGCAGTCGTCGGGGTTTTGTCACTGACAATAATTTGTTCCGAGCTAAACTTTTAGTCGGAAATAGTTGATTTTTTGTACTCTTTCTCAGTTAGAATTCTCTTAATAGCAATAACCAGTATACGAAGACCATCACGCTTGTAATTTAACCCCTGTCTTTCGCAGGAACTCCTAAGGGATTTTGTTCAGGGAATCCGGTTTCTACATTTCAGTACTTTTGCCATAGCTGTTTTTGGAGGCCGACTTTGAACCAGTTTGCTTTGTTAGGTGTTGTTTTCTTTTTCAGGATTAAAACGTTGTTACTTTCTCCTGACCTGCTTGAGTTGCTTTCGCTACTCTCCTGTCAATCAATTTAATTGGTATCTGGTCAACTCGCCACCACCACGAAGAACAGAGTCAACACGCCACCAGTGGTAAATTGACTTCTATCGCAAGCCAAACATGACAAAAGTGGGTTGAGTTCAAAAATTACCTGTCGACCAAACATTGGGAAAATAGAAATCACCATACGAGAATGAAAAACTCTTATGCGAGATTTAAATTACCCATCAAGAATGAAAAAAAATTAATCTAGAAAAAGACTGATATAGCAATATAGCGAGAAATAAGTACTGAGAATGAGAAATTGTAGCGGTAGAAAGAGAAATCACAAGGCGAGAGTTAGCCTTTCATAATTTAGCTGACATTCTCAGTTGCGTGACACGTCAGAGCCTCAGACAGAAGAGGACACGTGATTGGTCAGTTCTCTTTAGTCCTGACCCAGTGTCTCACACCTCCATAAATTCGACTCACTCGCTGATGAACTGACCTCGCTCTGTAAATTCTTATCACGCTATTTGTTCTCCACAATAAGAAATGGCTGGGAGTGAAGAAAACATGCGAAAGATAGTTTTGGGTATAGACGGAAGTGAACACTGCGAGCGAGCTCTTGAATGTAAGTAAAGGGCAACCTTCCAATTATTTCGAGATGACTTTTTCGGTCGAACCATAATTATTCAGGTCAGGTTCAAGCTGGTTGAGGGTTGTGCAATATTTTTGATCAGAAAAAGCCGCAGAGTATGAGTTGTTTTTGTTAAGAATATCTATCTGGCAAACGTTTTGAGATCTGGATGTGAAAAGAATCAATCATCTTTAGGGTCGTGTCAGGATTCACGTACTTCCCCACAGTTAATCATGTGTAACTGAATACATTAATTTCGCGATGGAAATACAATTTGTAGAAGCCGTAGGGATTCGAAGAGAGAGTTCGAATGCACTGAATAAAATCGTATAAATAGTTTTGAGGTGGACCGGAGTCATTTGAGCTCGTTGTGTTCTAGAACAGAGATTCACTTAACAAGTAGTACGCTACAAATTTTATTACTAATTTTCTTGAGTAGAGGATTACAGGTACTTTGGTAATTGTCATGTGACTTCTCGTGAACTGTGAAACATGAAGCCTGTCACGTCTAGGGGATTTCTCATCATTACTAGGCATTTAACAGTCAATCTCTCGCATTTTCTTGATTCATTTTATCGTTGTAACAATTACTTAGTGGTGACTATTTTATTTAGAGAGAAAAAGAGCTGTACAAACACCTCAGTGATATCTAATGAACCATCTCTTCATCTGAATCAAACAAAATCCAATTCTTCAAATGGTTTCTGTGGCTAGTTTGTTAAATGATGAAACTTTCCAAATTTTCCAGACAAGTTTGCCCTAGATATGAAAAAAAAGTCATGAGAATTGTGCTACCTTGTCGTCAAATTTAGGACCCCCTATATACACTGAATGGAATTAAATAAAGAATGGAAGGTAACACCTGGTAGTTAAGGTATATTATGTGATCCAGGGTAAAGATGTTGTTTACATTTGCTTCACAATAATAAGTATTCGATCTATATGCCATACTTGGCTTAGTCAATTTATTTTTCTCTTAAGCAATTAGCTTCCATTTCAAGCAATAACTTTTTCCTGCACTAAGGAGATGTCATCACTTGGGAATATGTTATCATTATAAAGTGTGTACTCCATGATTTCTTGCTCACTGTTAAAATAATCATTAGAGCAAAATTTTCAGCCTTTAACATTTTGTTCTCTTATTTTATTTTGCCTCTCTCTACACAGGGTATGTCAAAAATCTCTCTAACAAAAAAACTGACAAGTTATTTATAATCCACGCACAGGAGCCTCCAACAATTCCAGCTGCTCCCTACCCCTGTAAGTAGAACTAAACCTGTAAATACCCCTGTAAATGGAACTAGACCTTAGTTGTAGAAGACAATGGTTCAATGAAAGTAATTGTAAAATGTTATGATTATTTGGCTGTCAAGCATGATGTAATGGAGTTTTTATGTAATTTGTGTGGCTATCATCGTACGGATTACAAATAACTCAACAGTTGAGAGGTGTATGTGATAGTCTTGCAGATATTGTATATACATACAGTGTTGGTTTTACGCTCTTAAATTTTGCAAAAATAGTAACCCAAAACCTCTAGGCCTTGCAAAGGTTAGTTTTGATTCAAATATAAATATCAGTCCAATCCCTAGTTATTATACTACTGTCCCTTTTAAAGTTCTGGTTTGCATTTTTTTTTTATAACTGGCTACCAAGGAGTCCTAAGTAAGCCTAATGTTCAGATATGGGCAGTTTTTCTTACAGCATTCTCATCTGTCTAGAAAACCCTTCAACCTTTTCAGTGGCCTTGATAGTCTTGAAATTACCTTTTGGTCTTGTTCCTTGAATTTGATTTAGTAACATTCTTTAACCTTGAAAAATCCTTTGAATTTTTAAATTACAGTTTGAGAATACACTTGCATGGTTTTTTTCTTTTAAGTACAATTGCTGAGGTGATTATAGTGATTCCCATGCTGTTATGGTTGAGGATTGTCCTTATAATAAAGTTAAAAATAATACTAAAACAACTATTTGCCTTAAGCTCATGGAATATGGTTCAATATTCCCTTGACTTTGTCATAGGGAATATTCAGCAATAATTACTTTGCCTCTGGCAAACAACGATAATCAAAATATTACATAATCCATGGGCAAACTGCTCCCTCAACCAATCTGAGTAACCTAAACTCATGGTGAACCAATTGTGCAGATAATGAACTCAGAGCTTTAATTGTTTTTTTTATAAAAGCTTATTCATTTGATTGGTAATTTGCAGACTGAAATGTTTAATCTTATTTCAGATGGTTATGCATATTATGAGGAATGGCAGCATTTACTTCAGAAAAGTGATAAACATGCCAAAGAACTGTTGGAGTGCTTTGGAGCAAAGTGTAACCACCACGAGGTTTGTGATTTTTTTATGTATACATTTCACTAGTGAACTGTTGGATAAAGGGTCAATTTAAAAAAATCCTTAGGATTGTACTGGTGAAGCAACATTGAAGGTAAGGGTGAAAATTCCATCGTGAGAGTTACTATGCCCTCCTGAAAATAATTTGTTTCCTGGTCACAGTGCCTTTTTTTTGCAGCATCCTTTTCTCCAGAAAATCCATAAATTAGGAGTGGTTAACATGTTGACTGGAAAGTTTTGTTGCATAGGCCCCAAATGGCATCAAGCAGACTGACTGAAGTCTTAGAAAGCAATGATTAAAAGTGTCTTGCCCTGGCTGCAGACTGAATGCTATCCACAGGCTAACGGGAACAATTTTCACAGAAATGTATACACCCTAGCTTTCCTAGAAATGTATGCACCCTAGTCTCAGTTTTGGACTAATTGCAGCATGTTGCCAGCCAAGGTGTTTAGAAATTATCTCTGCTGCCACCTTTGGCAGCTCATAAAACCATCCCATTTAAAAGTAAGAGATTTGCTTTTATCTTGGCAGCTGAAGTTCAAGTTGTACAAAGAAGAAAGTAACAGACCTGGAGAAGTGATTTGTAAGCTGGCAAAAGATGAGGGTGCAGATATCATTCTTATTGGTTCACGTGGTGTTGGAACTCTGCGCCGCACATTTCTTGGTAGTGTTAGTGACTACTGTGTGCACCATACCCATATTCCTGTGGTGGTTATTCCACCTCAAGATTCACATGGTGACCATGCCCATGCACATTAATTATATATTTTACCTTTGAAGAGTCCAACTCTCATGTTAAGTGTGTAACACTGATTGTAGAGAGGGGTAATCATTCATGATCTCCAAGTGCAAAAGGGGCACAAAACAGATAATGATTGAAAATTTCACAGGAACCTGAAGGCATTTGAAATAGAAAACTACAATGGTTTTTTTCTTTTTCAACAATAAGTCTTCTTAGGGTTATAAATATCATCAAATTGATTATTGTCTTGAATTTTAACTTTTGATTCACTGTTAGTAACTTAAATATACTCAAGTTTCTGCAATCTAACTGTTTTCAATATCTTCTGTGGAGATTAAAAGGATAGAAAAGTATTCTGTTGTGGCAAGAGTGTTATTAATGCATCTATCAATTTGAAACATTAAATTTCTTTCTCCCCCCCCCCTCCCAAGCAACCCTCTAGGAATTTGACTTTTGAAGATAGGTTTGTTCAAATTCACAGCACCTGGGCCGAAATTGCATTCAATTGACTTACCCTAGTGCAGGATTTGATGGTCAATTTTTTTGTAAAGGCAAGATCAGTGACCATGACTTTCTTGTAGCCTTTTTCTCCTGAGCCATCTGCTCCTGAACATAAACTCTTACCCTTAGAAGGGGTGTTATCCGCTGGAAAGAAATGACAGCTCCAGTTCAAATTTCCTACCCCACATGGGCAACAAACAAATTCCCCACCCCCTGGAGCACAGAATGCAACAAAATACTGTTAGAAGTTTGCAGGCATAAATTCATGGGCTGCATTAAGGAGTGCCGAACATGTACGCATGCATTTGAACTAATCCCAATGAGGGCACTAGTAATGATCTAATAATAATATGCACATTCAGGGTTGTCAGTTATTTGTGGCTTTCAAACACATAACTGCATGGTTTATGTTGGAGTAATAAAATGAGCTTTTCTTAACCTAAACTCATTGTTACACAGACAACAGACAAATGCCCATGAGTTGTATGAATCAAATAAACATGACATGTATGAAATTAAAAATCCCTTAGGCCAGCACAAGGTTCCACTTCCTTGTTGAGCGAATGAACTGAAAACAGTTTACCCCAAACAACCATCAATTACAGAATAATATCAAATACTCTACCCTTTTTTCTTTGTTGCATTTTCTAACTTTTTTCAGCTATCATTTTGAAGTAGCAACAGTGGTCAATTACAGAAATCAAACCTAAAAGAGATTGACTTTTTTCTTTTTTTGACTTTTTCCTTTCAATTGACTCCAGTATGTCACCTCATTGCTTACGTAGTGGCACAGATTTCCTTTAAAACAATTTAATCCCATATAGAGCGTGGTTCAGGAATGGCAAGTATTTTTAAACCATTTTAAAAAAATGATTGATTTGAAACGTCATTAAAAAAAAAAAGCCTTCCCCTCCCTTCATGAGCTTCACTGAGGAGAGATTCTCGCGACTTTCGTGTGGAATCGAGCGTCTTCCCGCGCCCACGCGTGTTGTTCGTGGGTTCTGGATGAATTTCCGACAGGTACCAGTTCATTTTGGCCACGTCCAAACGTGAAAGTCAACATGACGGCTGAAGCAAGTGAATGCACTGCGAGGAAAATTCTCATTGCAGTCGATGGAAGTGAACATGGTGATCATGCATTCGACTGTAAGTATATCGTGGAAATACGGCGTTCATAAGTGTATCTTTTTCATTTCTCTGCTGAGAGAAGGTCATGTCTTAAACGTTCGACGCTGTCCTACGAGGTCTTTGCGTGATCGAGATCACGCACATTTTCAAATGAGTCTCCACTCTTCCTTCTAATATTCGAAGTAATCAGGAATTTTGATTTTTTTGGTGCAAAAGAAACGCCATACGTAGCCATCAAGAAAACGAGTCATTATTTCATTTTTGCCCTTTTTGGATCTGACAGAGGGCCTTCTCTAAAAGTTGGCCTAGTGCCATTGAGGCAACGTTTGTACGTTTTGTTAATAAGTGGTAAACGCAAACTGGCTTACGGAATTTCACAATTTTTCTCTAGCGCATTTTCAAACATTGAAAGGCTCCCAACGAAGTAAAACCTATCAGGGTACTCAGCATAAAAATAAATTCTCAAATACCCTAAAATGATCAATATTAAACTTCTCCTCACGGTGACCATACATTAACCAGTAAACAGGCTTGAAACAATCGATAAACTCATCAGCTGGGGGATTTTATATCAATTAAACTCCAATTTTTTTGGGAAGTTATGGACAGGTAAATGGTTCTGGCCAAGAAGAAAGGATTATGAAGTAAATCTGTTGAGTACACAGTTTAAAGTAGGCTCCCCAACCAATTTTTTGGCCACAGGGAGAAATACATGTAGGGTCCTGTTTAACTCTTGCTGGATTATAAGGTGTTTTTCTCATGTGAATTGTAGATATTCTTATATAATGAAATCAAAACCTTTTTTGATGGAGCAGTTGAGTGGCAAGGTGATTGGAAGTGATTTAGTTAGAAATTGGGCTTAACCCTGGAGAACCACTATAACTGTTACTCTTTAAACCCTTTATGCCCATCAGTGTCCCCAGCAGTCAAAGTGATGTCTTCAGGACTAACAAAAAAAATAATTTTCAAATAGTTACAGCTCTATATATAAGATTGTTGCCAAAGCTCAAACAGGTGATTGTACACATTTTTAATAATGAAATTTTAATTCAAGGGTACATGGAAAAGATTCATTCTGCTGGAGATTCTGTGATTGTGTTACATGCATTTGAGATTCCTTCTCTTCCATATTCATCTGGGCCATGTGAGTATACTCAAATGTTGCATTTTTGCCTGTTATAAACTCTTTTATTGGCATGCAGAGTATAGGTTGGTAGCTAGGTCATATTTATGGTGTGCACACAAATGAAAGGAAATATTCCTGGGCCCCCAAGGCAGGGAAGGGAAGGGAGGCTGTAAAAAATTAAGGTGGGTAGTGCAGCAACCCCATCCTTTTTTCAGACGAAAGCAGATATTGTCCCCACCCTATTTTATATATGAACAGCCACCAAAATAATAATTCTGAAAAATGTCAAATTCAACTCGAAACAGAGAGTGTGCTTAGCCTTACCCATAAATGGCTAAAGCCCTACCTAATTTTAGACCAAAGCAAACACAGCTGAACCTCTCTGTAAAGGCCAACCTGAGAACATCCTCATTGTTTTGAGATGGGGTGTGATATAACACCTGTTTTATTTTGGATGGTTACAACACATTTGTTTTTTTTTAAACCACATTTAAAATTGTGTTCATAACAGGATCTGAATGTGTATTGCAAACCAATTTGCATCATTCAATAGCAGTGAAACAAAACACTGTGGTACATATTTAAAAAATTTTATTAAAAAAAAAAACCAATAAGGTGTAACATGTAGCTTCACCAATGAAGGGCAATTCATGCAGAGCCACCTTTTTGTTTATGTCAAATGAAATGATGGAGATTGTGCTTGAATTTGGTTCATCAGTAGTATCACTGCAACTTGTAAAACTTGGAACTTGTTCACTTTAACCCCCATGACGATCATGACAGAATTTCTTCCTTATGATAGGCAGAGAAGTGATTAGAGTAAAGAAAAATATCAATTGGAGGATTATTGGTTGATCCAATACCAAATTCTCCAAACTAACATGATAAGAATTTTACCGCAGATGGTATAGAGAATTACTAATGAGATCTGGAAGTGAAAGAGTTATTTCATTTGTTGCCTCATTTTTTTTGTAGAAAAAACATTTTTAAAGTACAAGCAATACATTTCTGCAAAGTATACTACAAAATAATTATGTTTCTGGTAATGCATCAATCAATTTGAAGCTTCCACATCCCCTCTTGGCAACCTCCCATCCTGGGCATTTTAACTTTTTAAGATTAGTTTGTTCAAATTCCTGTCCCCAGGGGCAAAAATTGTGTTCAAATGCCCCAACCAATTTTTTTTTGTAGAAGGCAACATCAGTACCATGACCTCTTAAACATTAATAAAAAAATAAAAACCTAGATTATGTAGATCTTTACTTCAGAGTCATTTGCTTGCAAAGGTGAACTATTTACCTTAATTAAACACTTCGACACTTTCAATTCAAATTCCCCACCACACCCAGGCAGGGAAGGCAGTGACATATGACTGTAGGTTGCACAGAAAAGGGAGGGATTTTAGAGCTTTGAATTGATCGGCACATAAAACTTTTAGGATTTAATCAACCATTATCAAACTTTTTGCAATGAACAAACATGGTAATTTACAATTTTGATGGCAGTTGTGTTTGCTTACTATGAGGAATGGAGCGAAATGGTCAATGGTCTTAGAGAACAGGCAAAAGAGATGATGCTGGGATATGAATTGAGATGTAAAGAGAAAAAGGTATTTTAATATCTAGCTCTCGCTACTTGTTATTCTTTTATTAAACCCAATCAACACAGAGCAGTTTTGTCCATCTATCGTCAACCCTCTTTTAAACTCCCATGAGTGAAAAAGACAGAATTTCTCCACACAATATCAATACAGCATCAAGCAGACACGCGATAAGAATAAAGACCAACATAAATTAGGGTTGTTTTTTTGGTCCAAAACCAATTTGTCCAAGTTAACAGAAAGATTTCCAGATTTCAGGGAAAAAGAGAAATAAAACACAAACAATAGGACATAATCATTACATGCTTAGTTTATTTGAAAGTATTTAAATGGGGATCTAGGTGTGCCAAAGGGGAAAGGAGGTTGTCATTATATTCAGCAAACTTTTGTCTCTTGTGTTCAAGACATAGCTCCTTTACATTTAGAGAACTATCAATTGAGGGTGTCTTTTAGGAGCAATAATGAAGTGATTACAAATCACTAGATCCACATGTGACAACATTGAAAAATCAATTAAGGTAGCAAGTTACAGTGTAGTTCTTTATATGTGCATGTTGGTCATCCCTTTTATATCTTCGAGGTTATCATTTTAAGCCCAACAAGATTGGCCAGTGATGGAGGTTTAAATTATAATTTTTATGACTAAAATGCCCATCATGGGAGTCATAATAAGCATAGGTGATTGTAGCTGATTAGTCAGCAAAGTGGACTGACCAATTGATTAATTTGGTCTCATCAACTGAGTTGATAATGTAATTAAATCAGCCAATAGTGATTACAATTAAGGGCTAACACAAAGGGTTCACTCTTGAAACATCAGCTTTAGAACTGATGGTGGCCAATTGACATCATCAATTCAGTTTTTAAAACCAAATTATCTTTTATTGCCCAACACTGATGCAGCACCACAGTTTCTTTAGAAACATCTCTGTTATTCATTAATCAATTGAGTAGCTTATTATTACTGTTTTGTAGGTCCATTTTGGTTGATATTTTTTTTCTTCAATTTTATCCTTATTATTTTAGTTACATTATGAGATGATCCTGATTGCTGGTAAGCCTGCAGGTAATGTGATATGCAGTGAGGCTAAAACACAGAAGGTGGACCTTGTTATAACTGGTTGCCGTGGACTGAGCAAAGCTAGACGTACAATCCTTGGAAGTGTTAGTGACTATGTAGTGCACCACAGTGGCCTTCCAGTCTGTGTAGTACCTCCTCCTTTAAAAAAACATGACCAATGAAAAATATTTAGATACACAGATCTGATCCCAGCTGCAATTAGACATACTGCTCCAAAAGAAAAACACTTTTTGGTTTACAAATGAGGCATTCATTTTTCATAAACTTCTTAATAACTGAGAGTGAGGGCCATACTAGGGAATATTGGCCTGAGGTCCATACCAAAATGGCTAAGGGCCAATATTCCCCAGTACAGCTTGAGCAAGTGAGGTTAGTAAGTAGTTATAATTACATGGCACCCAGACCAATCTTGTTTATTTTCAATTTGCAAGCTTCCCCAAACTTAAATAAGGAACTGTCAGTATGGCAAAATCCTGACCAAGTAAGGGCCAATCAGAATGACTGGATTTACCTCAGGATTTCATATGTATCTTGTCATGTAATTAAATTGAGTATTTTAATTCAAAAGCCAAGCTGCAGTCATTAGAAACTGGCATAGATCAAAACTTGTTTGATCTGTGTAAATGATCAAAAGGGTTACAGCTCTGCAACTGAGAAAATGCATTACCACTGAAAAGGATACTTATCAAAATATTGTAAGTAGTCTGAGAAGATTTAACCAATTACTATCAAAATAGGGGTTTCACTGGTCATATAATTAATCGTTTAAACATTATGAACATGCAAACAATTTAAACTATTTCTGGTTCAAATTTTCTCTGCATTATTAAAATGGTTACAGAAACTGTACCAGAGTTATGGAGATTTAGATTGCCTTAATTAAAGATAATTATCATTTTAAAAGTCACATTTACCATTGCAACTTTCAGTCACTGTCTGGTACTTAAATATTTTTATCTAGGCTACATCAAATTTCCTTGATTACAAAGTTTCTAAATTTTCGATCAGACTCTTTCATGTGTGTCTTCAATTATCATCAAGATAATAATTAACAACTATTATCTTCGTATAAACTAGATCAGTGAGATAATATTGCACTTAAAGAAGATTTTTGTTTCTGCAAGATTACAATATTTCCTGGTGCAAATCCCATGTTAGTTACTTGAAGGTGAATGACAAAGGATATTTTTAGTTCGAGTACCCAATCAAGAGCGTGCCTTCAATGCCATCCACTGATTTAGTATATACTAAATGTCAATTACAGACCTAGTTTACTAAGTGCATTCAGAAGTTACAATCATCCACATATCACACAATCCTCTAAGATATTTTAACTATTGCCACTTGACATATGGTAAGCATAGAGGTCAATAATATTAAGGTAATTTAATTAAGTGTACTAATCTACAAGTATTTACATACTGTAACTGTAGAAGAATTTTACTATTTTGAGGTTTAAAAAACTGCCTAAAAGTATTCTTGCATAAACATTGAAGTTAAGTGATTTTAAATTTCGAAACTGGATTGTCCTTTTTATTTCTGTGGTTTGTTATGCTTTGTCCTCCAAACTATAGCCTTGTAGATTTTCCTAATTTAAGATTTTTCTGAGCGAGAACTGGCACTAGATGTTTCTTTGGCTCCGCTCCGTCTCCCTCTCCCCAGCCCTCGCCGTGAAGCACCGCGGCCTCCTCTTCCTCTTCTCACTGATGAACTGTTGGTAGGACTTGGTGACTCTAAATCATGAACAAGAAAATTCGCATCTATAACTTCTGGTGAGAACTTGAAAGTGTGCTTGATAATGATGAACTCTCACTCTCTCTCACTCTCTTCAGGTATTTCATCTTTTTTTTTCCCCTCTTTTTCGATTTGTATTTTATACCACTGTGTTACATTAAAAGTTAAATGACGTAAGATTGAGTATTACTGAGAATTCACCTGTCACGTTTTCTTGGGGACAGTCACGAGCTAGTTTATTCTCGTCAACCCAGTTGATCCACGCTTTCCATAATTCACAATGTTCAAGGGTCTTCTTGTTTCCAATCACTATCATTCCTCTACGGGCTCGAGTCAAAAGCACGTTCATTCGTTTATCGTCATTCAAAAAACCGATGAACCCGTGCTCGTTGCAACGTACGGCGGAGAACACGATAACGTCACGTTCTTGTCCCTGGAATCCATCCACTGTTCTGACCGAGACATTTCCAAGATTTTTTTGTTTCATCTTATCCAAGATCAACTTAAGCTGCGCTTGGTAGGGTGTAATTACACCTATCCCGTCACTAGTCACGTCTCCTGCCTCGAGAAGATCACTGACCAATTCACACACTAGTCCGGCCTCAAAATCGTTCGACTTGGACGACCCCTTGCTCTTTTCCATTGCTGAATGTGGCGTGCTAAGGAGAGCTACAGGCATCTTCTCGTTTGGCCATATGAATCCAACAGGGGCTTTCCTCTCCGACTCAGTCACACCATCCTCAAGCTTATTATCATAAAATTGACATGATGGAAACCGCGCTATGGATGGGTGCATTCTGTATTGAATACTGAGCATGCGTACAGGAACTCCCACTTGGCGAAGCCGTGAGAACATGGAACATGTCAGCAGGGCTGGACCTTTAGCAAACTCGCTTAGCACCATAGGAGGAAGCTGCTGATCATCTCCTTAAAGATGCGGAATAAAACAGATTGAGCTTACAACACTTTAACTATTAAAACAGATGTGTTGCAAAGAATCTAAAGATCACGTTTTGCATTTCGATTTTGGTTGCTGCAAAAAGGCAGATCAAACCATTTTTTACTAAGCTGCTCTAAGGAAGTCATTGCTCTTCTCCCAACAAACGTCCCCTCCCCTGAGAAAAACATTCTTCATTCTCTTATGATAGATTTGTTTCGGTATCGTTTGCCAACGTTCGATGATCACTGGCCAGAGTTGCATTACTCATTTCTTCAAGTGGGTTTTGTGAGGAAGAGAGTAACTACTTTCTAAAAAATCATAGAGAGAGAGAGAGAGATTAGCATCGCCCCCAATTTACTTTCCCTTTGTTTTTTACCCTCGTCAAGAAACAAAATTATCCTCCTCGATTTCTCCATCAGTGAGAGGGTTTTAATGTGATAATCTGGTTTCGTTATTTCAATAGAGACTAGTGGTTATTCTTTGGCATTCAGATTTTCAATTGCTCGGTAGCTTTGGATAGAGGAATATCGGTTCCAAGAATTTGCATTCAACTTATCTGAATAAGGGTGTGGGTTTTAAAGCACTACATAGGAGAAGGAGCTACGTTTGCATCGTCCCTAATACTTTATCTGAGAAAACAGCGGATTTCTCTTATCTATTCTCAGTAACTTACCCACTAATACAAGCTTCTCGCAGCCATGTGAAAGAGGAACAAGGATTGCTGGTTCGGTAGCCTGTGAGGCCTCATCGACTAAAACTCGCTTGAACACGAACCCATCAAGTAAGGACGACCCCGCACTAATAAGAGTAGTGCAAACAATTTTGCAACTTTCCAGAATCTTCCTTGCCTTTTTTTTGTCGATTCGGCCATTGGGGTCTTTCTTTCCAGACTTTATTTGCGAGTATTTAAACTCAAAGGTCAAATGATTTATGTCCTTGGACACTTTCCACCCTGAGCTTCCAAAGCGAACAATCTCCTCATTTTGTAAGCCATGATCCAAAAGCTTCTTTAAGAGGTTGTCGACACCCTCGTTTGTCTCAGCTACAAGAAGAACTTTGTCATGGCTGCTAAGAAGCCAGCGTTTCACAATCTCTGCGCTCGTGATGGTCTTTCCAGAGCCCGGAGGCCCCTGTATAAGGGTTATGGAGGCGTCAGTGCAAGTGGCATCCTGAACAGCTGCATTTTGACTTTTGTTACCAGACCACTTTGAGAAGGAACAAGCTGATGAAAAAGTGCTGGTTTCTCCATCTGTTCTCACGACACTTGGACCTGAGAAAGAGAAAGTTTTTGACATCTTCAACTATTAACTGCATGCAAGAATTACTTTCTTGAAAGTTTTTTTCAGTTTTCATTTGAAACTGAGAGTTCACTAAGATATGATAGAGAGGGACCCAACTCACGATAAGATCGCTGCCTTTTGCTATGTTGTATCAATAACATTAGCACCAATTTGCATTATGCATAGATCTTGGTTTCAATAAGCGAAAAAGTTCACATTTTGCCATGCTCTTGAAGGAAACAGGAAGACATAATTTGATGAAACCGATACTGGAAAACATACCAATCTTCGTTGTAGAGCCTTTATCTACTTGCTTCCTTGAATCTTGACTTGAAAGGTCATCAACACAGAAACTGCCGACGATTCCTTCGAGAATATTCTGCCCATATTTCGTTGCGCCTTGAAGAGCTTTCAGTGCTGCTGAAGTGCGTCTGTATCCAACAAGACTAGGAAATTTGTAAAGATACCACCTTCCTTTAAGAATGTTTTCCCTTGAAGAGTCAGCTGAACTTGTGGGCCACACTATGTCAACTGTTAGTATTGTTCCACAGATTTCTGTCACTTCACCGATGTATTCACGTTTAGAAATATCTGATCGACTGAGGGCCACGCCATCTCGCACACGGAATGATTGAGTACCTCTTGTAATTACCAGTGTAAATTTTAGTTCTTGTTCACTGCATGGAGTAGCTTCAGCCGTGATACGGTAACGTGAGAAGACTCCTTGAGATGCTATAACTGCTTGCTGCACCTCCTCCAGTGACTCTAAAGTTACCAGGGAAATCCAGTGCAGAAAGTACGGTAAGGCATTCGGGTGGCAAGTGAAGCCTTCCAAGGGCAGATGACCTACATGCAAAATTAAAAGGATTCAATTTCTTTCAAATTAAAATCTATCACAGAAGTAATTTTTTAAACCCGCACATTTGTTGGTGTTCCCGGAACAACTCGCTTTCATGACCTGACAATGCTTAGGTTTAACCGGAAAAAGTTTGAAGTCGTCTAGGTCGATTACTTTCTTGCATGGTAAAGCAGCACAGATATAATCGATATAACGTAGATTGAGAATGTGATTTACCATCTTTTCCCTTTTTTGTTAACCTCTTGATATATTTGTCGGATTTCATCACATGGGTGTAGCACAAAACTCTTTGCTCTCCGGTTGGTTATGATTTTATCGTTAGTCTTCTCTCTATTTGGTGTCGATAAATTGTGTGTTATTTTACATATTTTAGAATTCCTGGACGTACGATTGTGACTATTATCATTGTTATCACTATGACTGACGTACCTTTGCAGATGACTTGAACAACGCGGCATCCGGTGGAATGGTCATTTCCAAGAAGCACGGCATCGAATACCTCATACATTTGATCGACACTGAAAATGACCTGCCTCTTCCATAAAGACTCGAGACATCGCTTAAATCGTGCGAGAAGCGTGATGTGAACATTCTCGCCGAGGACAACGTCAAGACTGAGTTCCTGTAGCCCGCTAAGCAAACAGATTAGGAGATTTTTGTAATGATCGGGTGTCCCTAATGAAATATCTGGAGAGGACCGCCAAAGAACGGACTCCAAATGGCAAGCTATGTGATGCTTCTCCTGCACAAAGTATCAAAGAAGGAAACAAGGCTTCTTAAACAACTTGCTACCATGGATCATGAAATTAGCGGTAGTCAAGTCTTAACACAATAAATGATAATATCTGCCCCCCCCCCCCCTTGCACAACATGCAAGACAAACAAGTCATTTAAAATAGACCTCGTTCAATTGATGCCACGATGGCAGATAAAAAGGGAAGAACGGGTTATTTTTATCGCCGGATGTACTATAACTCTTTGCTTCCGCTACCTTTACATATCAAATATTGCCGAAATGCAGAAAACGACTATTACAAACCTTTTCGTCCGATGAAGAAGTCATACTGTCGCATATTTCTTCCAAATGACTAGTTTGTAAACATCCCCTTTCCAACAGGTCTTGAACTCTTATGATATTTCTGTCCAAATCACTAACCGACTCTTCAGGGTCACACTGAAGGTCTGGAAAATCACCCCTGTGGTAGACGAATTCTTCTTGCTTTTCGTTACTTCCAGAAGGTGTTTGGATGTTTGATTCACCTTCTAGTGAGTCCACATTTCCAACGTATTGTTTTGAGGAAAGTTTCTGAATCTTGTGACCAGGATCGAAATGATCATAAACACAGAAAGCCTCCAACTCAAGCAACTTCTCTCTTCGAAGTCGAGTTTGAAAATCTCGCGGCAAACTCGACTTAAAACGATCAAGAGCCACACTCATGATGGGTGCACGATCGTTTTCATCTTCCTTTAAACAGATAAACGTGTTCTGTTTTTTTCCTGTGTAGATGTCGAGTCGTCGACCATCCAAAGCAAAACTGTAGCCGGCATTTAGCTGCAGAAAATGTCTCTCTGATGACTGAACATGTACTGAACAAAAGGCCTGAGCGACGTTTTCCTCCTCATCTAGAGTCAGCACTTCACAAAGGTTTAGTGGAACTGACATCGCCAAAGAAATGACCCACTGTATATCTCCAAGCAAAAATTTGAATACGAGCAGTTTTTCAAGGGACGAGATCAGGATATTGTGAAGTACCTTCCAAGACAATTCTTCACCCTCTGTTCTGTACAGAAGACGCCAGCGCTTCTCATGGCCACGTCTAACTTTGATAGTTCCGATGTCGTCTCTAGAAAGAATTCGAGATTGGTGAAGGGGATTGAGAAGGGACTCTAGATCCGCCATTGGAATGTCTGCTGGTAGACATCTGCACTGTTCCCGACTAAACCGGGAGAAGTCAATCAGGTGAATGTACTCTTCAATGCATCTTTCTTTGTTGGGTTGCTGGCACCACTTGTATAGATACCGAAACAATCTGTACTCACTAAGCCGTGACTCTTGGTTGGATAACAAAGCAAGCATGTCTTCCTCCTCAAAATCCTCCACCTTTCCAGTCGCTACATCTTCTATCATCTGGTCTCTTTCGAATAATTTTGCCCTTTGGTACAATTTTTGCCAGACGAATTCTTCATTTTTTTCATCCTTTGTCGGAGCTTGCAAAATATGTTCCTTGATTTCAACTCTCTCGCCAGTTTTAGCAGCGTCAATGGCACGAGAGAACAAGGCTGCGACAATCTTACATTCTGTAGAGTTGATTCCTTTACTATCCGCCCATTTGTCAAACAAATTGTCCAGCTTGCCAACAACAGCATTACTGTATTTAACAAAATACTTCAGAAAATCATCTTGTGTGAGATTTGTTCTTTTAGCAGAATTAGCTGCAGGATATTGGCTTGGCTCTGTTCCTTTTTTCGGAACGAGTTCTTCATCCCAGCAAACGAAGAATTTGTCCCCATCAAGATCACTTCCAGCAATCTCATCGGGGTGTGGACGACTTCCTTGTGTTGGAAAAACAATGCAGTCTACTAGATGACGGCATTCAGGAATGTCGGTGCATCGCAAAATCCGGATATCGCCTGGATGATAGCAAGGATTTTTAACCACCACCACGCGTGTTTCTGTCAAGATCTTGGGGCTTCCTCGGATCGTTGGCTGAAAGAAGACCGTTGTGGCTCTCAACTGCCCTGATGGATCGCAAATGCCGTAAACATTCCTTGATTTCTCAATGGGAATTTTCAGCTTCAATGCAGCAGACTTTTTAGTTTTGTGCAATGGATTCGGTTCCCTGACCCGGTTACGCAATTTTATAAGTTGTTTCTTAGTTTTCGTGTCTATTTTTCCTGTTTTTAACAAATTCTCTGCCAGTTCAAACTCTTCATTTGCGCACAAGAACTTAAAAGCAACTTCATGGGCTGTGGTAATCTCTTTAAGTTCTTTGAAGTACTCTTCTTGCTTTTTCAAGAAGACCTCATCGGAAATACCAAGCGCTGATAAAAGCATGATGTACTGTTTGTTCAACGAGCCAATTTCATTCGGCCTTGAGAAGCCCCTGTCGACAATGCCAAGGAGATGGGGTCCAGAAAGTTTCCACGCAAATTTCTCCATTGAAGGGCGGATTTGGATTCCCTCTTCCAAGCAATCATTGTGGCATAGTACTCCTTTGCATCCCTTCAGGCGGATCTGAAATACTGACGGTATCGCTGGTGACTTGATGCCTTCATACAAAGTTTCCAGGTTCAAACTCTCAGTCACTTTCAAAGCGCATTTAGTTGATATAAAACCACATCCGTCGGTAAAATTGTACTTGTCTCGTTCTACGTCATCCACAACGCCTATTTGATCTTCGGGAATACTGCACACAGGCTTTGCAGTCGAGAACAGCAACCCGACTCTAGCAGCTCTTTTGGCAACATCTTGAATTTTCTCAAAGTTCCCAAAACGGCTCAAAATCTCCTTCACGCTACCTTGCTTCTCGTTGTAAAGAACACAAGTTCTTTCTCGGAGCTGACTGGCACTGTGGCCAAAGAATGTAAATCTCTCTTCAGTAGAATCCTCTTTATATCTAAGAATGACGCCGTGTGTAAGAAACTTCGACACGGCATCAAACTGCGTTGAAGGGCTAAAGTGAACAACCAGAAAGTTGGCAGGATCATACTCACGATACAAAGGGCAAGGGCTGTTTTTTGTATCATGTACAACTTCACAAGTGAAATCCTTCCATTCCAATTTCTTGTCATCTCGAGCTCGTCTGCTAACATTTACTGTTATGGTTTTTACTGCAATACATCGACTATCTGCGGCACCTCTTTCCTTCCGCCGTGGGAAGTCAATCAAGGGACGAACATCATCTTTACTTTTCACCACTTGCTTAAATTCCATGAATTCTAATTAGCTGAGCCAACTCCTGATTCAAAGAAAGTGTGCAGTATTTTAAGCTTCGCCTGTCTGCAACACCGTATAGAGCAGATACTGTCTCTATCGATCGACAATACGGGTGTCATGCAATGAAGATAGGCATCAACGTAATCAGGTAGAAACAGTAGCTAACAGTTTGAGACATGATATTGAAGTTTGTCATTTGCATAATCAACACTGTTTTGGATCCATTACTCAGGGTATAATTACCAAAATTTATCAACGGTTACTGATGTAATTACCCCGTTTTGACCGACGATTTTGCATTACTGAGCATTTGAAGAGAGTTTACTCTTTCCAAATCAACTTTAAATTTTCTTTTGTCAGAATTTTAGCATGTTTCGCTTTAGCGAAAAATTATTCCAGCCGCATGAAAAAACTGCTCAGGTATTGTAAACGTTAACTTACCAAACTAGTTAAAGATTCCCGACGAAATCCTTGACGAAAGGATGGGGGCAACCGCGTAGCGTCGAATCAAACGCAATGAAATCGGCTCAATTCGTTAGCAGTTTCCCATACGCGGAAGTTCTTTGGCTACTGAAAAGTTCCTTGAATTCACTGAAACTACAAAACACAACTACTCGATCACAGGATTAATTCCCCAAAAGATGATGCTAGATATCTGTTATTTCATCGCACTCGGTTAAATCCTTTAAATGATAAAATATTATCAAGTCTTTCCGGGAAATAAGATTGTGCTCTATTCCCCGAAATCACGTGATGTTTTGAGACTTCAATCTAAAGATGAGGGTCGGGTAAGTGAGGATTTCGGAACCTGAATACGGGTATAAATGCATGTTACATCGTTGATGTTTTGATATCTTCTATCTGAGTAAATTACTGATAATAGTGCGCGATTGTAGAATTAATAGGATAAAAGGCAGTCAAGAAATCTCGGTACATCAATTCTTCCTTATCGCGTTTTGCCCTTCCGGGTGGTGGTGAGTGAGTTGATTAACTATTTTACATATTAAATGTCAGTTTTCAAACCTGCTTACCAAAGCGTAAAGGGAAAATATCGGGGAAAATAACAGGGAAATAACAGAGAAAATAGCGCCACATAGGATTTAATTTTCGATGCACAAATTTATAAAGGTGTGCTTCGTTTATCAATGCCGGTATATAATTGATATTTGACGGCTTGATAAACGGTGGTAAAATTTAAAGAAAGGACTCTTCAAACAATCCGGCTTTGTGGCTACAACTAACAAGTCGAAGCTAGTTATACTTCAACTGGTGCATTTCTTGTTCACAATGCTTCGAGTCTTCATCTGTGGAGCTCACAGTGTTGGTAAAACAACCTTAGTGAACGAAGTTGGAAAGCGGTTAAACTTACATGTGGAAACTGAAGTTGCTCGAAAAGTGATCACGGATTTGAATCTTCGACGAGAAGATTTTGACCCAAAGACTAATCCATCGAAGTTCGAAGAGCTTCAGGAAAGAATTCTCGAAGCACAATGTAAAGTCGAGGAACAGCATTCGAGAAGTGGGACGCCGTACATAGCAGATCGAGGAATTGATCCATTGGTTTATTCTTTGATGTACCTGGGAGAAATTAGCATGAAAAGACTGTTGAGTTTGCCGTCAAGCCAAGAGTGCATAAGCAGGTGAGCTTTACAATCATGTAAAATACCAAAAATAAAAGTAAGAATTCAGTTAAATTCTTTATTGATAACAGTCAGTTAAGGCTTGATAGGCTATTTGACTATGAAAGATTCTCAAAGTAAGAAGTTTGTTTATTGTCATGGTAGTTTCTTGACGATGGTGGTCCAACATTTCCTGATGTTACACGTTCTCCAACGAAACGGAAAGCTCATCATATGATAAACCGTTGACACACATTATTACATAACTAAAATAAAGTTCACATGATGATCACTTCGCGTTCTGTCTGATTGACATGTTTATAGTGATGCTTTGACTCAGAGAAAATCTATCGAGACGGAAAAGAAATAACTCTGAGATTACACGCTCAAATTATTCAATGCTTCAAGTGCATTTGCATATACAAAACCGATCATTCTTTTTGACAATAAAGTCTGCTTTTCTCTGAGATGTACGAGACGGTGTTTCGCTACACTTGCTAGAGCTAATTAAAGTCGGGCGAGCTATAGTTTAATAACAGACGATGAAATCTCCTGATACCTGTAACAGATTCACCTAGTCGAAACAATAGATATTATTGATTACTAAATATAGATATAGATATTATTATAGATATATATATAGATATTATTATTACTCTCGAGGTTCTACATTTGCTTGATTTGCTCCAAAGACGTTACTATAAACTTGAACTTGAGCGATCGTCAATTTCTAGCATATGGTTCACGCAAATCTCAATTTTCCGAATTTTTAAGGACAGTATCTTTCTCCTTTTAAACCTATCGCAGTATAATCAGTATTTCCATCTGATGGTTCATCATTAACAAGACACTTCAGTCATGGGGTATTTATGCGACACTCAAAGTTTCTCTGAAGAAGTCTTATGAGACTACAAAAACAATTAATATAACAATAAAAGTTGCTTAAGAGCATTAGACACCACACAGATAGATCCTACCTCCGTGGGCTTTGCCTTTAAGGTTTTATTTTTAGAGCTCGACTTTCGTGGTGGCCTGGTCTGCGTTTGTCAGCTGACATTCCCAAAAGTTTCTGGTTACCTTTAACTTCGTGCTCGATGAATGTCATTCAAAAGGGAACATCAAGTGTTTTTGTGGTTCATTTGCGCAAGTCTCGTAAAAGTATTTGGATTTGTGCTCTAATAGGAGATGTTAAATTTTTCAATATCAATAAGCCCACATGCCCATTTGTGACGTATAAAAATGGAAACTCGAGCCAGAAGACGAGAAAATGGATCAACTGATTAGGGTATTATACTGAAGTTCCAGCAGGTATACAGGCAATGTAAGAGTTGAAAAGACAGGCTTAGTAGACTTCTGATGTCTTCTGCGAAGCGTGATTCAGTCCAACAGTTTTTCACCTATGTACATCTCAACATAAAAAAATAATTGATCGAAATATAAGCCAGTTGATTCTCGAGTCTAGTGATGGCTACGATGTCAGATTATATTAGCTGAATCAATTGAAAACAAACCGAGCTGTGAGGAAATACGTAGTATTCAAAGAACGTTGCCAAACGGGATCATAACAGGGGTATATCCGGTCATGTGACGCTTTCAGACCAATCGCTTACGAGAAAAAAATATTTGATGGATTATAGTGCTTCTTATGTTTTATTCCAGGTATAGGACTTCCTTAGTGTTCGTGGTGCGACCCTTCCCAGAATGCTTACAGACCGATAGCATTCGCCTCGTTCCGAAGATGGAGGACCTGCTAAACTTCACAAACCTGATGGAGGAAGTTCTTCAGGGCAACAGAATCCCGTATACGGTCATCGACGTGTTAGACCTAAAGAAAAGAGTTGATATTATTCAAGAGAAAATAATGGAATGCGGAAGCCTGAGAGTTGTTGCAAGGACGGATGGAGACTCCTTAAATCGAGATGATTAGGTATCCTATCCAGTGACAAGACACCATCACGTGATTTACTCGCGTGATATCGATGGTGAATACAAGACAGTGTGGATTCATTTGAAAAATAAAGAAGCTGCGTCTGTGCTCTCTTACTTTAATAATTGCACACGATGCAGCGATCGCACGAAAAACGTTCTAGGGAAACACGAGATACAGTCGCGTATTTTTCACGCCTTCTTGATTGTCCTCATTTCTACGTTCACTTTCAGTCTTTTTTATACGGAATTTATTACTTTCTTACAAGGAAACTTGCAAATGTTTATATTACTGACATTGCTGTGGGTAGCTTAAGCTCTGGCTAAGTTGTGCTTTTCTGAATCAAAATATATTCATAGTATCATCTTTTAGAGATCTATTAAACCCTTTAACTCCCATGAGTGATCAAGACAGAATTTCTCCTTACAATATCAAGACAATATCAATAAGACAAGTGAGGAGAATACAGAAAAATATCAATTAGGGGATTATTGGTTGATCCAAACCCAAATTCTCCCAACTAACACTATGAGAATTGTAAGGGAGACAGAAAGGAGAATTACTTATGAGAACTTGGGAGTGAAAGGGATAATTACGCATCACAGCAGATAGTGTCTGTGTAGAGAGAAAAGGAAAAAAAACAAAAAGTACTTACATGGAATCTATAACCACAAGCTTAATAGATCCACCGAAATAATTATTTTTACAAGATATCAAAGCTTTTTGATGGAAAGTCTCTGGGCGTTGTCTCGTGCTACAGAATTTTGTAAGTCTAATAACACCGGTACCGTCATGTTTATCTCTGAAGTTGCTATGCGACCCATGCGAATGTCTTTTTCACCTGCTGATTTTGTGTTACTCTTTAGATCGCCTGTCACTGAAAATCAGCGTTGTAATCTTAGTGACATGACAGACTCAGAAATTTCCTTTTCAAGGTATCACAGAAGTCAAACTGTTATCCTTGTAAAAGTGTACATTTTCTTAAAAGCTTAATAAACACAGATTTCGGATATTTCATTTAATTTTATAACTTTTACCATCGAACAGAGTGGGAGGTTACTCTTTTACGCCGAGACGTTTAACAAGATAAGTTTATTTGACGACACATTTTAATCAACGTCTCTTTCTTATCGGAACGTGATCTGCACACACGCCTGTATTGGAAGAAAAGGAGACCTTTCCCTTTCTCCTCCTCGCGGCCTCCGGCCAAAAGTAATTTCGTAAGGAGACACTTCAAGCGGCTCATGAGGGCGGAAAAATACCATAAATGCGCGGATTAGCATTTCATTTAATTTTATTGAGATATTCAAACCGAAATATGCAATTTTCAGAGCATTATTCATAACCCTCATAGATTTTTTTAGTCTCTTATCAACAATTTTTAACCACGAACACATAGTCTGGTCTGCCTGTGCCCACGGTATCAAGGAACACTTTTCATTCGACTTATGTATTCTTTTGTTTTCACGTTACCATGTTCTCACTAATAGCGTAGCTCCATCTTTCTGTGTGTAAACCACACACAACTTACAATTCCTCTATTCGCTCTGACGAAGGGCTAACGCTCGAAACGTTCGCTTTAGAAACTTTTTACGGTGGCCAATATACGTTATCAAATCAGTTGATAAAATTGATAAAACACTTAAACACGAGGAGAGGTCGGAAGAATGAAAGAAAGCTATTCGAACTCGAGACGAGAGTTCTCAAAACGTATCGTCCTTTCTCGTCTTCCGTATTGACATATACTTTTAAAAAACAACTTGGTTTAGCTAAGCCTTTACACCGTAACATCAGCATGCATATTCTCCATACTGTTCTCTATATGTTTGTTAAGGTGCTGACGAGGAGAATTTGGTTGGCAATGTAGAGCTTCTTTAGTTGGTGATCATTCATTCGCATCTCTCTCTCTCTTTAGCACCCAGGAACCTTACGCTTAAACTTTCATAATGCGTTCTGGCTTTCAGGATAGCATACGTCATTTTGCAGGAGAACCCAGTGTTATAGCTATGCATATTCCAAACCTGATTAAAAAAAGGATCAAAGACCGAAAGTAAAAGTTGGCTGTGAAGCTTAGGTACATAACACTACAAGTTGAAGGGTAATTGTATTAGACAGCTTGATAAAGTCTTTCAAAAAAAGGATTTGAGTTCTCATTAATTAAAGCAGATGAAGGTAACTGTTCTCATGGCTTTCCTCTGTAAATTAAGTAAGGGTTGCAATATTGACTGATGTTAAACGATAAAAAAGGGGCTATATTTAATCTGAAATATCGTAAGGGTTTCCTTATATTGGCGTCGGGGAAAGGAAAGGAAATATTATATTACTTTTAACCATTCCTGCAGGGAATTATAAAAAAAAGGCAGGTTGATTACTTCTTATTCCTTTTGGAAGCCTAATCTTAAAGGTAGAGTTTGGTCACGTTTTCCTCGTTATGATAGTGAAGTTGACATGGAAATAGTTACTCAGTTCTACGGTAATTAGAACTCGTGATAGTGTCTTGAGAAAGCTTTGTTATTAATTAAGTTAATTTGTCAGTCCAGGAAGAGTGAATCTCTCTGGAAAAAGGTCACTTTCGACACCTCTCGTTCTTAAAGGTGTAAACGTGTGGCACCTTCATGTTTTGCAATTAGAAAGTTATTATGACTAGCACGTAGCAACTTGGGGGGCGGTACTTGTGAACGCCCCTTCTTCTCCAACTTTTGTAATCATGATGTTGTTATGTAATGGTCTTCTAGGGCAATTTTCTCTTAAGATGTGAATAATATTCCGTCAATAGGATAGTTATGATTTTTATATTGCCAATCTCGTTTCTGTTCTGGCCGATCTCAACTGTAATAATAAGAAATTTAAGGTAGAAAATGATTTTGTAACTGCGCAAATAACTCGAAGGCGCATACCTAGTAAGCAGGAACTGTCATACGTAATCTAACGTGATTCGCTGGCTGAGATGGAACGATGACGATACAAGAAGATTGACAGCTTAGTAGTGTCATCTTTAGTGTCACTTTATAAACGGTGACCCTCACTTTTCTCATAAGATAGGGGTCAGTCCCCGTTGTAACAACTTGAGAAGAAAAGAGATTAAAAAAGAATCAAACAAACAAACAAAGAGTGTTAGAGAATTTACTTCTAACACTGATACGCCGGGATTACTCCATGCAATTATGCAATAAATTAAGAATGGCTCCACCAAGGTACGATACAGGGACCATAAGGTTTTTGTGTTGAGGAACTAGCGAAGCTTTTTGAGAATACCAATACTTCTTTTGATTTTTATGGCTAGATAGTTAATGTGACTCTTCCAGCTAACATTTGAATATATGTATCAGTTTGGATTGCAAAAGCATGCCCGCTGTGTCGCAAAATTGACAGTTAGTTTTATGTCCTGCCAAACCTCAGTTAGTGGATGAACACCCTGTGGTTGAAGGGCGGTTGAGATTCCCAAGGAGCAGGCTTAGGAGGGGTTCTAAAACATGATGGTACCTAACGGAACTCTCTTGGATTAATAATTGGTTACTGATAAAGAAACCTTTTTGGGACTCGATTTTTAACGGGGTGAATAATTACACAATTTGACTTTTCAATATTTAGTGAAAGCTTGTTTCCAGATAGCCAAGTATGGACGTCATCAAATTCACAGTTAATTACACTTTCAAGTGTGCTAATGTATTCATGCTTAAGAACTAAATTTTCATCATCTGTAACTAGGCGAAAATAAAATATTATTGAGCAAGGATGAAAATCCGGTGCAACCAGTTAAATGTCAGGTATTCAGCTCCACTGGTCTCCACTTGCGTTTGCCAATTTTGGTCGAGGGAGAATGTTGCCCAATAGCCTGCCGAACTGGCAAAATTCTTTCTTCTGATTTGTTGTTGTTGTCTATCATGACGACGTTCAAAGTTTTAAGCAGGAAGCGCATACCTTGAAATTCGAGCGGATCATTCTTCTTTCGTCATGCCTAAATTATCTTTGAGATCACTGTATCCAAGCTTTTGTGTAAATTGCTGATTTCCATGAAATTGATTGTTTTCGTGACCGATGTAATGAGCCTTTTTAGCAATGACGCGCTGACTTCCGGTGTATTCAGTTCGGAAGTAGTTACTATTGCTAGCTAAATTAGTCGCCTTCGCAGCCGTTCTCTGACGTAACGTGACGAGTCTGAGAAGATTTCAGCTGGCTTTGATCGATACACATTCATTTAACTGAAGGCCTCTTACACTCTTGTCATTTGTTTACTTTTGACTGATCTTTAATTATCAGTGGGACCTCACCTCTACCGGTGGATTGTACATACTTCCTGTGAGGGTTTCCTTAGAGCGAATCAGATCTCAGCTGATCTATTACGTCATTCTATTCTTCTATAAAATTTCGCGTGACGAAGTAACGGAAGCATATTTACTCTGCTGATGTGGTCGAACTAAACTATTTTCTTGCCAGGTAAGAGTGACAATGAATTCTCAGTTTAAAAAAGCTGAAATAGGTGTATAAAGTATACTATTTATAACATTCTACCGTGGCATTCAGTTCGTTTAAACGGTCACATCGAAGCGAATGACTCAATCGTGAAGGTTGTCATCTTTGGTCGTGGTTTTGCCGGTCTTAAGTTTTCTTGCTAAGTCAGCAAGTGTGTAACACCAAGATGAAAACGAAATCAAAATTATTTCTCTTCAGTGCATTATCGATCTAGCCGTTGAAATATTATGCCTTGATTGCTGAAGCGGAGTTACCTCTACAGCACTTATTATTACAATCTAATTGCAGCCTCTCTCCTTATCCGAACTGAAATGATTACAGATAGTTTGTTAGTTTTCACTTCAGAAACTATTTTCATCCGATCCCCTTTCAAATATAATTTCATTTTATGTACACCCGTTTTCAAAAACGATGCAATATGAAAAAGAATATACGAAATTGATACATTTTTTTCTCTCATCAAAACGTTTCTCTTTGATGAGAAAACGAAAGTATATATATTGCAAGTGTTAGGGCTACTGTAACTGCAAGTAACATTAATCATATATGGTGTTACACAGAACCTTCTATATGATAATATATACACACAAGCATTTACAGGTTTTTTTTTCTGATTTTTGGCCATACATCCTGACTCAAACATTTCATAATGACAACAAAGGATGTTAAATAAGACTATGGGAGGGGATAGCACATTGGTCAAAGTGCCCAACCCCCTCCTCCTCCCCCCACTTTTGTTAGAGTCTGATTCCTTAACCTGGGCCCAGTTGTTCAAAGGCTGATTGGTGCTAACCCAGTGTTAAATTTTAATCCAGGTTTCTATATTTCTCTGTTCAAAAGTCCTTTTGGAATAATTTTACTCTTTGTTTTGAGAGCACTTAGTCAAAAAGAAATAAACTGAATTTGCTCTTCAAGCTTTCAGACCTGAGATCAAATTTCACACTAACCTCAGGTTATCTTAACCCAGCTTTGAACAACTCAGCCCTGGGGTCTATTCATCTCAAGGGCCCAGTTGAAAGGCCCTTTTTTGCACTTACCAATGAACCTGAAATACATTGTCAATGTCAAAATAGCACAAGGACAAGTCTGTAAAAGCTAACAAGAACTGATAATCTTTTTTTTTTTTCTCAGATAAACCCCAATGATGCAGAAAAAGGGATCTGAGCCTGATTTTACAGAGCCATGGCATCTTAGTGATTCTGTCCTTGTTGTTGAGGAGAAGAAGTTCCATGTTCACAAGGGTACTTTATCCATGTGGTCACCAGTGTTTGAAAGAATGTTCTCCTCAGAGTTCAAAGAAAAATTTGCAAGTGAGATTCCTCTTCCGGGAAAGAATGCCTCTGAAATAAAGGAGCTGTTGCTTGTCATTTACCCAACATCAAAACCAATTGGTGAAAACAACTGTTACTTCCTTCTTCCCTTGGCAAGAGAGTATCAAATGGAGCAACTCACAGAGCGCTGTGAAAAGTATCTGCTACAGAGAGAAAAGACTCCTCACCAGGCTATTGACTTCCTTGTATTAGCTAATGAGTTTAACATGGAGGAATTGTGCAAACAATGTGTTGAAATTGCTAAACACATGTCAATATCAGAAGTGCGACGTCATGAGAAATATGCCAAGATTGCTCCAGAGGAGGGCAGACAATTGGCTGAAAGGAGAGTGGAGTTACTTGAGAACAAGATGCAAAGCAGTGAGCAAAGGGTGAATTCTGTAAAGAAAGAAGTCAAAGATGTGTGTGAGTGGGGAGTAAGGGAACTGGGACGGGTTTTGTATCTGAAGAAATACCCAGAAGGAAGACGAATTCCACGTGCTGTTAGTGATTGTACAAAGCTTATAGAGGAAACAGCAGTGGAAAGTGTTGAGGTTGCTGTCATGATACAGTTGGTACAACATCGCCTTCGAAGTATCTATGAGCCAATGTACAGTAATAATCAAAAATAAGTGGACAGTTTTAACTTAAAACTCAGTCCTTGAATTTATTGAGAATCAATGATCAAGAATCTGGGCTCAAATAACAAATCCCCATCTTTTTCAGGAGCTATGTAGATAAAGGCAACAGATATTGTAATGCTATTGATGTAAGGTGCCAATACAAATGTAAGCAAGTTCTCTCTTAAGGCAGATCAAAGAAATATGAAAGTACATGTAGATGGTTCAGAGAGGGTTTGTGTTTCTTTCCATCTGTGCTTAGGGTAACAATTCTTTTGTTGTTTAGAACATGTTATGGTAAACTCAACCCTTTTTTTCACTTTCATTTGGTAGAAATGCTTACTAGAAATAGCTTATAGGACACCATTTTTTCACAGAGAGGTAAAACAGTTTAATTAACAGAAAAAAAAGCTTATTGGAAATATAGTATAAAAGTAGAAAGTGCATGCAAAAAACATAATAAATATATAGCAAAAGTTAACGTGCAAGCGGAGAATGTAAAAATGAACAACAAATAAGGTACTGAGTCAATCAGTTTTATTAACAGTATTATAAATATTTTCTTTTTCCCATTTCCTTTTCCATTATGTCAAGAAACATCTGCTTGAGTGAGTTGTCACAAAGATATTAAAGGGTCTGGCAAAAGTGGATGTTCAGGGAAGGTGACTGTTGAAAGAGTTTCAATTATAATACATGTAAATACACTGTACAGACAAGACATTGATCAAATTTGTCCTTTATTGTTCCAAAAATAATATTCTATGAGCACCAAGACTTTTAAATTCATGTACAATTCTAATACGTATTCATTGTGACAAGTATTTGGCATTTCACTATAGTTTCAAGACATTCTTGTCACAAGTTGTTGTTCTGTTGATCTTCTACAAACTGCTTCAATGTTGCTGGGTCAACTGGGATATACAAATATTCTACACCATCAGCACCCTGCAATCAATGACAGAGAACAAATTACAAGACTATTAATAATGACTTTATTTTATTTTAAAATTGTCAGTTTTGAATTATTAAACCTTTACACTCTTACACGAGTATTAATATTCTCCACACTAATCTTTTTACGTTTCCTGTGGTACTGAGAAAGATAACTTGATTGACAATCGAGAGCTGAAAATGGCAATCATTTCCTTTATTTTTGTGGTCTACATATTTTATTCAAGGGTGATACTATAAGGAAATATTAGAAGATAGTCACTCTGAGGGGTTTAAGGGTTGATTGGCATGATTTTTCACCAAGAACAAGGCATGTGAAACTGTAATTTGAACTGACGTTTTGTATATGATGTTGTACAACAACTCTTGAAAATACAAAAATGTCCAGTGCAGTGCTTGGTTTCAACAGAATGACAATTGTGTTTAACAAACCTAATTAAAATACTGGCAAGTATAAACCACTAGTGATTGATGGCTTGTCATGCACATACAGAAGTTGCTTCTGAAAGGAAGCATTGGCTGAGTCAAAAAGCCAAAAAATAAATGCCAGAAATATCACCTTCTTGGAAGTTATAAGTTTGTGATCACGAAATTCTATCAGTTGAGCTTTCAGTGTTGAGTCACTGTTTACAAGGAACTGTTCACGGCATTTGGAGTAACAAGAATTAAATGACAGCCCTGTGAAAGAACAAGAAGTGACTCAAACAACTGCAGTTAAATACCACCCAATTATTCTATAACAGCTTCAGAGAGAGACAGGCAATTTACAGAAGCCATCTCTCAACCACTGAGCTATAGAGAGCTCATTGTCAAACCAGGCCTAGCATTTTATTACAGGGGTGGTTCACATGATGGTTACTTAATTAACCTTCACTTATGCCCAAAGTTTTAACTTTGAATTTGGTTGAATGAGAAAGTTTTCTTGACCAATCACAGAGAAAGACAAAGCAAAACCTGCAAGGCAATCTAGGATTACTTATGACACTCAAATGGAGATGACTCTAACTTGAAAATAATTAACTATTATCCACCAAACTGGAGGTGAATACTAGTGGATATTCACTGACACTTAGGTGAATAATTGTTTTGGTATATACCACATCAGTACCAAAAAGTTAGTTTCTTTCACTCAATAAACCAAAAAATGGTGGAAAATTAAGCTCTTGACGCACAGTTTTGTCCCTTTGGCTGTTCTGAGGTGAATGCTCCTTGCTAACCACTTCCAAACTGGCCAATCAGCATGCACAAAAGGCACTAATCACTTACATGGTACATGTATATACCAAAAAGGGATATAAATAAGGCCTTTCTTTCTTCATTCCACACAAATAAGGAGTAAAGACAAAGCCATCAACTAAAAAGTGATACCTTGATATGAAATTAAATTAATTTGAAGGGAAACATTTGTTAGCTCCAAAGGAGAATTACTAATCAGATGCTGAGGTTTAAAAGCTTCACACACCAATAATACAAAAAGGTCTCTTTGTGTAAATGTATCTTGGAACTCATTAGTACCAGGATTAACTGTAACATCAGTACGCAAATTCTCCATAATGTTCTCAATATATTTCCTAAGGTTCTAATAAGGAGAATTTGTTTGACAATCAAGAATTTCTTTAGTTGGTGACTGTTTCCTTTACTTGCACAATCTAAATGTTTGATTCAGGACTAGATGCTAGTAACTCTTACCGGTTAATATGTTAAGAACTGCTTACCAATATAACTACTGTTATCCTTTTCATCAAGCTGATGCTGTGCTATTAAGATAAAGATACCACGGGCATTAGGAGTCAAACTACGGAACACATGAACTAACGAACTAAGTGCCAGAGCCCCTGTGTGCTGGACCAGCAGTGAGTTCTCATATGATGTCTCTTCCCTATATGGTTCAAAGGATGTAACATCAAACCAGGACCAGTTAAAACGGCTCAGCTGAGTATGATTCCAGACTGAAAAAAATTCCAACTCAATAAATAAGTAATCAACTCAGCAACAGCTACATCAATTTAAGTATCCTAACTGATGGTTCATCAGTTAGGGCAATGCACCTAAACTTTTCAGAAATATTTCATTATTTTGATATCTTCATGAAAAATTATTCTATGTATTTAAATATCATTCTTGAGATAATATTTACATATTAAACTATTTTAATATCTTGAGATTTCCAAGCAATGATATGACAAGTAAATCACAAACACAATTCCTTCAATTCTGAAAATCTCTTTTTTGCATCATGATTCTTTTTCTCCTAGTGGGTAAAAAAATATGTAAAATATAAAATGATTTAGAGAAAAAAAGTGAAAGCAATTGGCCTTTCCTTTTTCATGCTGTATGGGTTCTTTCATCAAGAAAATATGTGATGTACAAGTATGCACACTAAGTACTGTAATGCCATGACACAATACTTATTATGTAATAAAGTGCTGAATGTACATGTCATAAAGAATGCAAGTTCACATGACTATTGCAAAAACACAACAAAGCAGATTGATAACAAAAAACACAGAAGTCTCTTCTTTAGTTAATCACCACTACAATGACTGCACTGTCAGTCTAAACAAAACTAAATGATTGTACTAACTTAGAGGTGCATTGATGTGATCAATACTAGCAATGATATGAAGAGTGTCCACCTCTGCAAGAAGGCTCAGAATTGTCTGAGTCTGAAACCAAACAGAATAAAGGTTTTGAAAATCTGCCCTAACTGCTGAATGGCTGTTAACTTCTTCCAGTATTAATACAAACAAATTAAGATAAACTATGGGGGAAGATAACTTGTTTGGCTGAGCAATGGACTGACAGCACATCTACCATGTACAATTTAACTTATAATCACCACTCCTCCATCTAAAATTAAATCAACTCAAACCCTTTGACTGTTAAACATAAAAAACCATGAATACCTGAATTATTTTGGGAATGTTGTGGCCTTAAAACAAATAACAATTTTGGGGATCAAGATGTGGGGACAAACCCCAATGCCACAAAGTAATACCATCACTGACAGTAATAAAACAGTTACACTATTATATTTTTCTTGCATATGCCATGATGGCTTATTCCTGACTAGTTTTAGTGTGGACAGTTTTCTGAGTTCCAAAGCAACCCTACCACAAACAATGCTTGATTGGAAAAACAATAATGTATAGAACCCCAGGTAAAAATTTATCTTGTAAGAGAACAATAGCTAGACCATACACATACACATTACTTGGCCCATTGAATTTAGGTCATGTCCAAAAATAGAAAACAGAGGCTATAACACTAGCATAATGCTGTGAGCCTATCATTGGGTTTTAATAGCATGTGGAGAGTAAACAAACCTTTTTGGATCTTAACATGGAGCCATCAATATTATGAATAACCAGAAAAATCTCCTCTGAACCTAAAAAAATAAATGTTAGAAAAACTTATAATCAGGTACATTATAAAGTCCGTAATTCTTAACACTTAAATTTAAAAAATAGTGGCTTTGGAATCACTATCATAATACATTTATGTAATTATCAGAAAATTTAGAGAAAAAATGCTTTGTCATAAGTTATAATATTCAGGACAGATATCCACTGAACCTAAAAAATACATGTTAGAAAAACTTAAATAATGCATTATCATATAATATCATTATAGTATGTAGTTCTTAAAATTTTAATATAAAAATGATGGCTTTGGAATCACAATAAATATGTGTCAAGCACTTATTGGGAAATTTAATAAATACCCCCATTATCCTAACCAAGCTTAACTCACATTTGTCACTGCAAAGGTTCTGTTTTATGTAGTCACACTGATCTGTCACACTCTTGAAAGATCCATCATACATAAGAACCTCTTCAGTTAAAATGTTTAGAACCTTCAAGAGTAAAAAGAGATTATTAGTCTCTGCAAGTAAATAATAATAATAAAAAATAACCATAATAATAACAAAAATAATAATATAATATTAAGCAATTATACACCACACAGGTGATTAGTGCTTTTTAAACACACTCAGATTGGCTAGTTCAGAAATGATTAGCAAATATTCTCCTCTGAGAAGCCAAAGAGACAAAATAGTGACAAGAGTTTCATTTTAGACTATTATTTGTTACAGTCAATTTGACAACAATAAACCAATTTTCTTTTTTTTTGTTTCTGTGTGGTATAAACATTGTACTAAGACAATTATTCACCTCTGTCAGTGTCATTGAAAAATAATTGCTGGTATACATTAAATGTAAAAGAACAACACAAGTAGGGTGTCTCTCCAGTGGTTTAAACCTGATTGATTGAATGGTCAATCCTGCTCCCCAATTTAATCACCATGCACTTTTAACCCTTTACACCCTAACATCAGTATCTATCTTCTCCATACTCTTCTCTATATGTTTCTTTTGGTACTGACAAGGAGAACAACCTAAGAATCAAAGCTTCTTAGGTTGGCGATCATTTCCTTTATTCTCCTGATCTTAATGAATGGTTTAGCAGTATTACTGTGAGGAGAAATTAGGTGCTAGTCACTCTCAGGCTTTAAAGGGTTAATAGAACTACAAAGTTGATCCAAGTTCACCCAAGGTTATCAATACCATGGATCTAAAGTTAGTACATCTACAGGTCCAAATTTGTAACCACAGATTGATCCAGAATTAGTACAGTTATTAATCCCAAACTAAGGATCTACAAGTGCAACATATCCAAAGTAATGCTATAACTATATGTAGCAATCCAAATTTATCACTACAAATCCATAAATACATGTAAAGCTAAGGATTCCAAGTTATTAAATGAAAGCTAACTTTGGATCGATAATTATCACTTTAGATCCATGGTCACTGATACTGATATCCCAATTTTTTGTTTCTTTAGAATAGCACTTCCAAGTCACTGAAAATGAGAATAATTCATGTAAGGGAGAAAAAAAACCCGAACAATTTAAACAAAATGTACCTGATCTTTTAAGAAATAAAATAGTTTTTAGTAATGATCACACAGTTCTTTTATAAACAAGATAGAGCTGTAACTTACAAGTACTAATTGTGATAACATTCCACAACTTATAGATCACTTACATTTTTTATGGTGAGACTGGGGAAAAATCCATTAACAACAACTTGAACACTTGAAGAAAGTTTAGATGAACGGAATTGATCAAGGAGAACTCTTTTGGATCCAAGGCCATAGAGAAGAATGTTGAATCCATTTCTATGTAAGAATCAAAGCAGTATGCAATGTTCAGTGAAGTTTGCAATACTAAAAACCAACAGAAACTAACTAGGTGAGTTATGAAATTTACCAAAAAGTGCATTCTGAGCTATCAGCTCATATTACACCTTCATCTGCGATTTCCACAATAATGCACAGCTGCACATGTAGTTATTTTGTTTGTAGGTTTTTCAAAGGACAGAAGAGGCCATACATGGAAACCAAAAAGTGTGACCTGTGACTTAAAATGGTGGCACTCAAAATTCCAATTATATCAAAATAGCTGTTACCTCTCTGAACTTTTGGTCACATTTATGCTCTTATCTCCTTTATGTTCAGTTGACTTAATGTTTATTCATGGAACATTTTTGACAATAGAACAAAAGTCTTCTCAGCAGTTGAAGTTTCATACAAATATACATATGAGCATTCCTCATGATAAATTTGATGAACATCAGATAATTTATTGCAAGAAGAAAATTTCAAAAGGTGACTCTTCAATACCAAAAGTAATTGAAGCTACAGGTAATTTTAAATTAAGAATGCCAATAATCAAGTTGTTTTTTTTTTTACTCTCTTCCAGTTGCAATACATATTCAAGGAACTCTTCCAAAGGATAAAAGCAGTTTATGAATAATCATAAAAGTATGTTGAGTTTGCGATAACTTTCAGGAACAAATGCGAAAGCAATCTTTGCAGTTAAGTGGTGAAAATAAGGCCTGACAAAAAAAAAATGTCAGGCCTATACAGGATTTTAACCCATGATCTTTTCAATACTGGTGCAATGCTCTACTAACTGAGCTAACAAGCTAACTGGGAGCTGGTCATTTTTTAGGATTGTAATAAACTCATAAAGTGATGAATCAATGACTGTGAATATATAATAGTCATATAATAGTATGTAAACTGCCTTTTGAGGAATGAATGTGAAAGGGATCTTTGCAGTGATGGACACAACTCAAGCCCACCCTGCTCACCTTAAATGGAATATCCACTTGTCAAACAGACCTTGCAATTTGTGATACAACTCAAATCTTTCCTTAGGGTGTGAGCTGGATACTTGATTTAAATGCAACAACAGTTTCTGCCAAAAAAAAAAAAAGAATGGTGATTGTTTATAGAAGCCGCTTCTGCTAAATAAACAATGTCTAACACAGGCTCTCAGCAGATAGGTTTACAGACCACTGACAGAAAATTCCTTTCCTGAATATATACTTACACAGAAAGACCAAGAGGAACCTTCAAAGATTATTAACTAACGATCATTTGAGTATCATATATTGACAAGGAAACATTACATGTCGGTATAACATGTTAAAGATTAACCCCTCACACCCTAACATCAGTATTCATATTCTCCATACTGTTATCTGTACATTTACTGAGGTGCTGACGAGGAGAATTTGTTTAACAATCAAGAGTTTTTTTAGTTGGTGATCATTTCCTTTATTCTCATGACATTAATGTGTGATTCAGTGGCAGTATTGTAAGGAGAAATTAGATGCTAGTCACTCTTAGGGGTTAAAGGGTTAACAGAACATTGCACTTACTTGTTGATCCATTCGTGGCATATTCAGTTTGGAGAGTGTATGATCAGACGTGATACACTTAGAGCTTTGTTGCTCAAAGAACTCTTCATGAGCATCTTCCAGCTAGAGAACAGTAATTCCATGAACTTTTAATTAGGAATACTTTCAGTCATTACTCAGTTAGTTGACTGCACACTGAAATGAAACCGTCACTTGCTTTTTACACCTTTTTACTGCAATATATAAAAGCCCATTGGTTTCCCTCTTAGAATATACAACACAATAATTTTTACTGTCTCATACCTGGTTTGAATTTCCTTTGGTGCCTTTCTTGTACACTCTAAAATATCAAAAAGACTTCAAATGCTCTATCATCTATTACCTCAAGTTTTTAACTATATTTAATATTTATTAATAATTAAGCTTTTTAATATTGATATAATTGCAAAAATGTACCAAAAATTAACTGCATTAACATTAAATGGTTAGTGTACCTTGATGGTGTTTCATCAACAGTCCCTGATTCACTGTCAGAATCATTATCATCTGTATCAGATTCATGTTCAACACCTGCAAAATAAATTCAACATGTAACACTGAAGTCTGATGATTTAATCTGTGATCCATCCATTTGGCAGCAATACAACCATACTTGTACAACATACATCTTAATCCTTTTTCTCCCAAGATCTCATCTTAGCAATTCTCCTTACTGTCTGCCATACAATTCTCATGATGCTAGTTCGGAGAACTAATAATATCCTAATTGACATTTTTCTTTATTCTCATCACTTATCTACTTGATATATTATGAGACAAAATTCTGTTCTTGGTCATTCATGGGAGTTAAAGGTTAAAGTAAGTTACTGTATTTCCTTGAATAAGCACCCATGCACTCATTTGAAATTTCAGCTACATGTAAAAGGAGTGGTGCTTATTGGAAGGGGGGCACTTAATCAAGGGGGTTCTTATTAAGAAACTATTTAACTGTACTGATTCCACTGTAGCTGACACTTAAAAAAGTTATAACTAAGTGGCAATAGAGACAGGTTTTTTCTGTATCCCTGTATTTAAGAAAGTTAGGGAGGAGGGCACTTATTCATGAGGAGGACTAGTTTGCATTATAGCCTAAAGGGTGGAAATATAGTGCATGTAAAAGAAGTTAAGCATTTAATCAAAATAACATTCACATTATATTTTGTTGCATGTACATTCTAAAGTGAATGGTTAAAAGCAATTCACGCAATACACCACATGTATTTACATTCCATAGGCTTCAAATCGCTCCCTGTTTCAATTTTTGGGCAAGCAATAAGTTATTACATTTACCATTAAGTAGACCTTCCCTTCAGTGATGCACTGCCCAAAAAAAAGCCCCATGTAAAAAACACCTTCAAAACACCCTTCTTCTCACCAAAAACAAGACAGTGCAAGGGTAATATGTGAAAATATTAATGTTTCACTGCTAACATTTCCTTATCATTGGAAGACAGACCTTTTAAAAGAACAGCTTTTCTTCTATGACGCAAAGAATAACTACTTCTCTTGTTTTCATCTTGAGTTCCAGTTGCTGGGTTTTCCTGCAAAAAATGTAAACAGTGTTTAACATTTTTTTTGGTTTCATTTACAAGAAGAGTTGTTTAATAGTTTCACAAAAGCCCTGAAGAAGTTCAGAAATAAAGGTTATATAAAAATTTACTTCATCAAGACATGTAAACTGCAGTGTTACACAAGGATTTCCAGTCCTGAGAAAAGCTGTAACAACACATGTGAAAAAATATCTGAGTTTTTCAAGTGTGTTTGATGTTGCCAATCAGCTGATGACACATTACTCGCATTTTGTGCTACTCGGTCAGGTTGATGAATGAACCACAAAACCCTCACCATTCTCAATCCAAGGTCATTTGAATGTCTGATTTTTTTTTTTATAGATTATGGTGACAAAACATGGAAAAATCTGTATTGTATTCTAAAAGCAATTTTGTCATTGATCATTGTCTACAGTTAGACAGACAGAAAAAGCCAAGAAATTTTTCTCAAAATCAAATAAACAATTCTGACCCAAAGGTCACTTTCTCTCTTATTCAATGTAGATTAACCACAATTTTTTTTGCTGATATCAAATAGGGGAATTCCTTTTAATACATAAAAATTGAATTAACTTCAGTTGACAATCTATATTTGGTATACACTTGAAGTTCAATAAAGTTCAATTAAAAAAAAAGTTACCAATATTTAATATCTAATCATGATCTAAACAATTACCTTACCTTCTCAATATTTGACAATGCAACAACCTTTTCAGCACCTTGAAAATGGTAGGAGAAAAAAAAACACTCATTAAAAAACTGCACTTAGCAAATTGAACACCACTGGAATAAGAATAATTATGCAATATCTCTCCTTGAATTCAAATATCTATCAGCAAAATGAAATTTCTTAGACAGAAATCTTGATTTTTAGGTCTCCTGTGAGGAAGAAACATGGTAAGTCTGTTTCAGTATTAAGATTAAACACAATTTGTGTTCCAGCAGAACCATAATTATCACAAACTGAATTAACCACAAGTGTGCAGTAGAGAAAACCTTTAGACTGCCTAGGAATTAATTACCAACTTGGGTTGTGAATGCACAGCCTTCATTGAGTTTTAAATACCTGTTTTTATGGTATGAAGAAACAATCAAACTACTCATTAAATGTGTTGAGTATTTTGTGTTTCTGTGAACAATCTCCAGCATAATTGTAACTAAGACTAACCATTACCCCTGGACAGCCAGTTTAAAGATTGGCTAGTCACTAAATAAACCAAACTGAACCTGCATGTTTCACAATCCACATTTTTTTTAGGTACAAATTTTTTCACACCAGTTTAATTTTTATTTCTTCCAGGTTATTATAATAAATACTGGATAAACTGAAGAAAAACATAAACCAAAACATATCTGTAAGAGAAACATCTTGTTTTTCTCTTATAATGATGCTATTAATGGAAGATCTCCATTTTGCTGACAGCAATGCTTAAACAACATCTGTATATCATTTAACTCATAAAAACAAGAAAAAAAATTAGAATTAAGTTTGAGAAGATATCAGACATACACCTTTGTTTTTCTTGTTGCTCTTCAGAGTTTTCCTACTGTCATGTGGCTGTGTGCTCTGAGTATGGTGAATTGGAGTTTTGTTGTGAATTGCTGACATTGCTAGGAGGAGAAAACTAACAAATGTTAAATACATAAAAAATCAATGGCTAAATTCATTCATATATAAAACACAATTCCACATAATGCTCCTCTGTTTTCTTCTCTGTTGTCGTTGTTTTGCTTTTGTTGTGGTTGGTTTTTTAGTTCTTTTCTTTTCTTTCCTGTAAGGCACATTACACCTCTACATTAACAGTGGACTCCTCCACATAAATCAAGAGAACCAAAAGTTTAAGGTAGCAGCCCTACCCAAACCACTTCCTTTCTTGTGACAGCTGGTAACCAAGGTAGACCCCAATTAAACCTAACTCTGATGGTCTCATTTAAAGAATTCCTTTCAAACCAATTTGAATAATTTGTGACAAGGTGGTAACATGATTGTTTTCCCAAATGTTCTCCTTAACTGTTTTGGTATCAGTGATGACATTTGTTGTTTTTCTTCTTCCTTTCTTCTTTTTGCAATAGTACAAGTTTAGTGACACAAACTAAAAGATAACATAAACTCATTGGCAATACTTATCGTGAAAATTAAGAGCAAATACATTTAGTACAATAATCATAATCCTTTGAAGTAGTTCTGGCTGCAGATACGCCTTTGCAAATTTGCGGAATATCTGATACATATGATAAAGTGAATTTGGGTTGATGACGAACCAAAACCGGGCCAAGACTACCTCGACCGGGCCAGTGTTTTACTAAACAACCCAATTTTCTCTTTTCTTCTTTTCTTTTGAACACCAACATTTAACTCAACTTACCAGCTTCAGCCAATGCACCACGACGCTTGGGAGTATGAAAACCAAACATTGTTGATCCACTGACTGGTGTGTCATCTGAATATTGCAAAAAGAGAATAATGACTTGAACTTTCGGAGCTGTATTCAACCATGAACAGATATGATACATCATTGTTAAAGAGAAGCTGTTATAACTTTATAAGCAAGGCTATTTCATCAAAATATCAAGGGTACTTGGGTGAATAACTTGAGGAATAACACTAGTACAACAGTTTCTATTTTACTTGGTGGGTAAGTTGCGAGAAAGTCGCGGTATATAATGCAAGTTTTCACGTGCGTAACTTTCGCAAATTGGTTTAATAGAGTTTTTAAGTTGACAAGCACTGACTCGACTGTACTGACTACAGTTAGGGCATATAAAGGCACCTGATATATTTTTCGAAACCTACCTATCGGTCGAAACCCACATTTATTAAAATGTGGGACATCTTCATCGCTTACAAATTCAACTTCTTCCGCCATTTTGTCGCAGTGTCATACCCAGTCGATCTCATTCACGTTTTTCGTGTGAAGTAGGAGGGAAGAGGGACTAGGTAGAGTGGGAAAGAATGCTTTTTTCCCACCAATGAAAGCCAAGGGGAGATCGTTTACAAGAAGTATATAACGTAGTCCATTTTCTACCGTGGTCACGTGTAATTTTTAGCAAATTATATAAGAGCAAGACTACTTGAATGTTACCAAATGTCGTCATCACACTGCAATATTCAAATGAGGATCTTGGAAATTTTGACACGGAATTCCGAACTATGATTTAGAAAGCTAGTTATTCTTTCACGCTGTTGCCCAAATAAACTCACAATTATATCAAGATAAATACATTTTAGATGCTTCATACTAATTGGTATAACCAGAACACATGTGATCTGGTAATTGCAAGAATTTAGGGGTCAGACAAGTGGCAAAAAACGGTAGCATTACAGGCTTTCTAAGATGGAAAGTCTTGGACCTAGTTTGGATAGATTTTTCACGATCATAGAGTTTCGAAATTGAATAATCGCAGCTGAAAAGTTGAGGTCTTAACGCGGAGAGTAAGAAATTGATGTAAAATTGTAAAATTGTGGTTATATATGGCACAAACACAATGAAAAAAGAAAGTCAATATTGAGTATCTAGCTATATCTTGGAAAATTTAGATGTATGTCTTCATGTATATGAAATGTCTTAAAAGTAGGACCTGCAATCCGACCCTACTAAAAGCTGTAAAAGCTTTCAGTGGAAATAGATGTTCAGAATGATTATTTATTACAGGCCCTCTATGTGCACTACACTCCCCCCCATGTTTTCATAAGTACCTGCTTTAGCAGCCTTAAAAGATTTGCAAACGATTGCATGATGTTGATGTGCCTCAAAAGTTTCAAAATTTCAAACGAGGGGTTTATAAAAAATAATTATTTCAATCCTGGGTGGCATCAGCCGACAGTAAAAGCATCTGACCTGGCTGTGCGGTGAAAGACTATCTTTTGTTTTTCATTTACCTTGTTTTAACAAATTAACCATAATGGCTTTTCACGTAAAAAACATTTCTTTTTGGTACTTCCATCTTCAAATTTTTTAATTTAACTTGTCGATAAATACTTTCTAATTTCTTTTTTTTTGTGTGAGGATTATGTGGTTCTCAACGGTGATATTTACAAAACGTTCCAACTTTAAACAAAGGAAAAGTAATTAGGACTCCTTTATTCTTGTGAGGTGCCACAAAGAGACCTGAAAATTATCTTAGTGTATAAAATTATGTTTTTTTCTCATCGAACATACTGAGATATTGGATAATTCACGAACATTCGCGGAAAGACATTTATCACCATCACAACTTTCTGTTATCCAGAATTTAAAATAATCTCAATTACATATACTCGTAACATCATAGAATTGAGCTTCCTGTCACTTCCATAGTAATCCAGTGATTATAATCGCATTAAAAACTACACATAAAAATGAGGATAAAATATTTACCTTATTTCAATGAAATTTTGACAAAGTCTTTTGCAGGTCCCTAATTTAAAAAGCTGCATTCTTGGGAGCTTAGCAATTTCAAGGGAAGTCAAGAAACACTGTAATATTCGCTTAGATGGTTGTGTGAGGATAGAAGAAAACTGATCCTTGTAATTAAGGCCAAGAGATTATAAACTGTTCATGGATAATCATTCGCTTGAACGGTTTGAAAACAACTAAAACGAGTCGGTTGGTTTGGTGACAATGTCCTGCAGAAAGAAAGTGCTAGATGTACCTTTTAAAAGGTTCTTGCGCTCTTTCACTTGAGGTGGAGTAAAACACTTTATTCGCAATGTATTTGGCAAGAATGTGCGTGCTTAATAACAGCTAGAAATATCTTAAAGATGTTCTTTACCAGTGAAGTAATTTCAAGTTCCAAAAAATTATTTCTATGAGTTACAGAGAAGACCAAAGAAGAGTAATCACTTTCCCTGAATCGTTCGGTCAATAGTGGAGCTTTCAAATAACATTTTGTTGAATATCAATAAATGAACATCTGGCTGTTAGCATTTTCTTTTTGTCTGTTAGTCAAACTTAAGTTGTAAATCAACACAAACTGAGAGCAGGTTTATTTTGTGAAAGAACAAAGAAATGTACCTGTGTCTCGGTACCGGAAATAAGAGAATGTTCAAATTTACTTCTCGTTCATACTCCTATTCTTAGTTTTGTAGCACACAAAACCAGCCTTGAATGAAGGTCCTTGCGGAGTTAAACTTGTAATGGGGACCCAACTTCAAATAGTTAAAATTTGTTTGGAAGCCATTCGCTGGCCTCCTCGTACTAGGTCTGAATCCCCCCATCGTTTGGTCAAAATTATGGGTTTAGCCTCACAACTGCACTTGAAAAGAAGGTTTTTATGGAAATGGATCCTAAAATGGAAGATAAAATGGAACCTAGGGGAGCCTGGTGAGCAGAAACCCACCTCCCTCGGTGTCTCTCTTAATGCGTTGACTTATTGTGTTGGCGCAATGGAACTTTGAAAGCTGTGCGGTAAAGACCCCGTTTTTGTGCGCGTAAAGTTCTCCTAGTGTGAGGGGTATTTTAGACACAAACTGCTTTCGCTTATACGTTGACATAATGTTAAAAACAGCTGCCAAGATATTTTAGGCTTATCATTTACTGATAATCAATCATTAAATAACATGAAAGGAATTAGTATTGATAAATATTTTATATAGAGCTTGTGTATCTCCAGTCTTACATGTTAAAAAATGGTTTTCAATTGACTATGAGGGTTTATCGTGTAATCACGTTTTTGTTTCCGCTGATTAGAGTAAAACTAAGTGCAGATTTTGAATTTTCATACGATCAGTTAGACCCAGTATCCCTTAATTCTGCTCTTCGGACCGACTTAATTTTCGCACTTAACATTTTTTTTCGCATGAAGCAGATCGCACATTGCACGGGCATCTGGGACAGAAAGAACAGCGGTAATCCGCATAAAAAAATGACGGATAACGACAAGGAAAAAGAGCCTAAGCACCAGTTTTAAGCGAGCGCTCTTCGAACTCAGTGTAGTGTGGTTAGAGTCATTGATCAATTGTTCAAATGTTTTAAAGCCCTCGATTGATTCTCAGACACCCACCCGATTTCTTTCACTCCAACAGTTTATGGTTCAAGGATTTCCAACACAATTTCTAATTGGACGGAGCAGTCAGAAGATCTTAAAATAATTGACGTACATTTTTCACAAAATGTCAATCATTCATTAGAAGTGACTCTTTTCTTCCAGAACTTGATATAAGCTGAAGCACATTGTAATATTGGCTGAGATGGTTGCGGGTGATAATGTTAAAGAAACTCTTCCTCTAAGATCGATATGGCTAATTATTCGCTTCGTAGATTGACATAGGTCCAATTTCTACGTGCATTATTACGAGTTTCATCAACCGACTAAATCCCAAAGTAACTAATTCAAGTACGAAAACAACTGAGAACCTCATAAATAATAAAGGAGTGGAGTAATTAAACAGAGATCAAACTTGACCAGTCATATTTGCGTGATGTTTCCCTCATGTTTGAAAAACTCTCTGTGGCTGTTCGCTAGAGTTATAACTGGTGTTTTCTGAGAACATGCTCTCTGTACTCTACTACTTCGTTCTCATTGTTTTGGCCTCCCTAATACCGGAAGGACAAGGTAAGATTTTACCACAGTTATGACTTTGTTATGGTTTGAGTATATTTCAATGTTTACCGAGGCGATAAATTACGTTTTTATGAATTTTTTTGTTGATAACGGCTAAACCTTGCAATAATCTCACAAGCTTCTCCTACTAATATCAAATGTAATGAATTATTTCATCTAAATTCAAAAACAAGGGGCGCTTATTGGAGTATCTAAAAAGAAAAGACTAGCCAAAAACTTTATACAGGAGAACAGCTTTTTTATTCTTGGTAAAGAAACCTTTTAACTCGTCACAGCGAGCAACAAAACGTATCGTTAGAACAGTGCTTCAAACTTACCACTTAACATATTATCTGTGGAAAAACCTGACTTTTTTGCACAATCAGCTCCAAAGTTGATCTAAGGTTTGGTCCATATTTCAAAAAACCTAAATCGAGGACTGAATTTGTGTATTCCAGCGAGTTGGTAGAACTATGGCATAAGTTATTAATGATCCACCCCAGAAAGGAAGTTCTAACTAAGCTTGAGGCAAAACCAGGTGGTTCAAATGAAATATTTGTTTAACAAAGACGATAGTTGACATTTTAGGATTTTTTTCCTCCTGCCACACTCAATTATCCCCTTAAGGTGTGCATGCTCGAGGGTAAATTTCAGCGTTTCGCCTTCTGGTGCTCGTTCATGCACAGTATGCATAGAAAACTTTCGTTACATCTTTAGCAGTAGAAAGCCAGGACGTAGATAGTGTATAGAGAGTTTGTCAAAATTGCTTGACGTACCATGGAGTTCATAAAGTTGAGAAGCTCGTGGTTTATACGCGAGCGACTAACTTTGTTTCCTCGCGCTTTTCATAATACGCATATTGGTCGAAAGCTGAAGTCACGCGACATAATAAAAAACGCTTCTCATGAATTGACCAAACAAAAAACTCCACGACACGTTCCGATAATAACCTTTTTTAAAAGAACCAAACATGCTCAGAGGAGAGGACTATTATTGCGTGATAAACACGACTTACTCTATATTTTGACAAAGTTGTTTATGGAGTTCGGGAACAATCGATCGATCACGATAGTTGATCACAACCAAAGGAATCACTCTCCTGGTGTTAAACTAAAGCAATAATTCAGCAGTAACACTGCTCTACAATTCCAGTCTCAGTAAAGGTGCTCAATGCCAAATAGCAACTTTCTTAATATAATTGTTCACCAGGCAACTTCCGCAATTTGAAGTTTACCAGTTTTGCTAAACCTGGCTACAGGTTGGAGAATCACACGGTTCGAACTACTGAAGTATTCGACGAGGATCTCTGCAGGTTACAATGCTATCTGGAACCTAACTGTGTCAGTTATAACTTCCTTAGGATAAAACAGGCATCTGGAACACACAAGTGTGATCTGAATAACGCGACCATTGAACACGATGAAGACCTGGTAAAAAACGAAAGTTACATTTACCGCGGAGCTGAGGTGAGATTAATGTTTATCAGCGAAGAGTATGAGACTTTATACTAGTTGAGGCTTTTTTAAAAGACTAAGACTAAGCATCCCTCAGCCTCTGCCACTCCTCTAAATTCTTCTTCCACCCACCAGAATATAGGTTACGATAATTGAACGTTTAAAATGTTGAAATAAAGACATAAGAGAGGCATACTTTGTTATTTAAGAATGACTGCTTCTGGAGCTGTTTTTATACACTTATAAGATACACACAGATTTTGCTCTCGCTCTGAACAGTGCCACGCTTGGGACGGGAACAAATGTGCTCAACACAAACATTTGCGTAAATAACAAAAAAGCTTGCGCGAAATACATGGACATGAGGGAAGACGCGCAGATTTCACAAACATGCATAACATTCAGAACTCGCAAACATGAATACACGCGCAGAAGACAAGCACAATAATTGAAGTGGTCATATTCTTTTTCTTCTTAAGAATGCTTGCGTCAGTAATCCTTGCAGAAACAATGCAACATGCCAAGCTGGCTTTACACACAGAGATTATCAGTGTTTGTGTGCTTTTGGATCTGGATTTGAAGGCCATGATTGTGATAGAGGTGAGGAATCCGCCATTTTTTTTGCTAGTCAGTAAAATGAATGTGAGGTCATTTCTTATCTGACAACGGGGAACGTTAGCATGGAGGCAAAAACACTCTTAGCCAGAGCACGTCAAATACACACAATGTGTGTGGAAATGGAACTAACTGCAAAGGTAATTTGGTATCCTCAAGTGAGTTGATAACGTAAAATAGGCCATTGTTGCGAGTTTAAAATCTAACGTTTCGAGCGTTAGTCCTTTGTCAGAGGAAATGGAGGAATTGTGGGTTGTGTGTCTGTTTATATGCGGAATATGGAGTTATGCTATTGGCGGCAACATGTTAACGAGAAAACAAGAATAAAATAGCTGATTATAACATGCCGAAAATCTACCAAAGCAAACAAACCAGAATACAATAACACAACAAAACACAAGATAAAAACATAAAAACAGGTTCCGTATAAAAGATGCTTCGTTTTAATTCTCTAGACTTGGACGAATGTGCTGACGGAACGCACAACTGTGATGTGAATGCTGAGTGTAACAATACTCTGGCATCGTACAGCTGCACGTGTAAAGATGGATTTCGTGGAAATGGAACTAACTGCAAAGGTAATTTGGTATCATCAAGTGAGTTGATAACGTAAAATAGGCCACTATTGTGAGTTTAAAAATCTGAAGTTTCGAGCGTTAGTCCTTCGTCAGAGCAAATGAGGGAATTGTGGGTTGTGTCTGTTTATATGCGGAATATGGAGTTACCCTATCGGTGGGAACATGGTAACGATACAAAAAAAATAAAACAGTTGACTGTAAGATCTCAAAAATCAATTAAAGCAAACAAACGAGAAAGCAATAAAACCATAAAACACAAGATAACAAAATAAAAACAGGTTCCGTACAAAAGATGCTTCTTTTTTAATTCTCTAGACTTGGACGAATGTGCTGACGGAACACACAACTGTGATGTGAATGCTGAGTGTTACAATACCCTGGGATCGTACAACTGCACGTGTAAAGATAGATTTCGTGGAAATGGAACCAAATGCACAGGTAACTTTTTGTAACATATCATTCTATCTTTTCTCTCCTAATTTTTCTGGTGGACATAGCACCAGACCTAAACTTGCACAAGAGTGTAATGTCCCTAATTTCTATGCGGTGTTCTACCGGCAGCAGGCCAAGAAGTACGAGCCCATCAGTATAAGAGACATAACTGGGTGGGTGGTTAGGAATAAACTTAGTTGGACACCTTTGGATTTTCTCAATTAATGCTCCATGTATGACTGTATAATAAAGACCATAGGCAGGAACATTATTCAAGTTTGGGTCTGACCACAGGACAGCACAGTAGCTTCCTCATCTAAACGTCATTGACATCCCGGAAACTCGCCTGATTCGCGAAGGGTTTTGTTGGCCTTTGAGGTTATTTCTCCTGCATGCTCTGCCCATTGGAGATCACGGGAATCAGTGATGCTTATGTCTTAAGCTTAAGGTACACACTCGAGCGATGTCCATCAAGGTCAACCAGGAGTATTCTTCTTAAAGATGTGAACGGATTTGCGTTTTGCGGCGTTGAAAGCTATGCAGCTTTGTGAATTCACCAGTTTCTTAGGAGTTACCAGCAAGAGTGACAGCATATTTGCGGTTGAAAGTAGATTCTATTTTCATTACCAGAGCTATCGCGAAGATACCGTTATGAAGATATAGTTATTAATGGGTTCGGAAGAAAATAATCAAATAAGTCAGTCTTGTTTCTTTGTGGGATTTTCTGGAGATTTTTGCTTCGTTATCTTATTATGCCGAATTTACAGGAATATTTGTTGTAAGTGGTAGTGTGCAATATTGGCAATACCCAAAACAATTTGACAATTTCTTAGCAGTACCATAACTTTCCCTTTCATTTTGCGATTATTATACAGGATTTACAGCAGTGTTTACAACTCTTGGTAAGAGTGGACGTAAGGGTCCAGTCCAAATTGGAAATCACTACACAGGTCAGGATCACGACGGGCAAGTTACATTGTCCAGCGGTATTCAACAATGGACTGTGCCACACACTGGCGAATACAGAATAGAAGCAATAGGAGCCTCAGGGGGGTATGTAGAGGACAGTATCATCAAGAACGGTGGAAGAGGGGCACGAATGATTGGAAACTTTATTTTGACCAAAAATGAGATCATTCATATACTTGTTAGTCAAGAAGGGAAAAAAGGAGAGAACAACTCAAAAACTGCTGGAGGTGGTGGAGGTACATTTGTTGTGAGACGAAACAACACGCCTTTAATCATAGCTGGAGGTGGAGGGGGAATCAAAAAAATGTCAGAACAACATCCGGGATGTGATGCGTCTATAAATACCACTGGGAATGCAGGGAACAACTCACCACTGGGGTCAGCTGGAATAGAAGGACAAGGAGGACTTACTAATGGTGTGAATTCTGGTTGGTGGAGAATTTGCTTTTTATAAATACTGAGAAACTCGTTGCATTCTACTGCCATCCTTCACTATCTCCAACTTGATGATAGAGTTAGATCTGGATTAAACAGAGGCACTAAATAAAGAGTTAGTTGCAGCATTTTTACGCTGACTTGTCCTCATTACTAAGAATCTCACTGCGGATCGTCGTTTGATCGTAAGAAATTTATGGGTGCTATTCGTAAAAGAATCACTGATCACTTTTTGATTGCACTGTAGGTGGCGGTGGTGGCGGCTTCCATAATAATGGACATGATGCAACGAACTCTAGTGGAAGAGGGGGAAAAGGAGGTGCAGGATATCTTCAGCGGGGAAAGGGTGGAAAGTCTCTTGGTGGGTTCGGAGGTGGCGGTGGTTCACATACAGTCAACAAGGGACCAGGCGGTGGTGGTGGTTACACTGGGGGAAGTGGCGGGGCTAATGATGATATATCCTGTGGGGGAGGGGGAGGATCTTTCAACAATGGAACAAATCAACAAAACGAATGTTGCAATAATAGCGCTGGTCATGGTTGGGTAAACATTACATTTCTCCGTTGAAGAGTACATAGCTACTCTTGTAAACGTGCACAAAAAAAAAGTTGTAGGTCAGTTCTTAATATTCTTATACATTTCAATCACCCTATTCCCTCGAATAAGCACCCGGGCTCTTATTTAAAATTTAAGCTTAAAGGGGGGGGGGGGGGCGGGGGGTGGGGGGTGCTTACTAAGAAACTATTCTAGCTGAAGCTTTAAAATATATATATATATAAAATGGAAATAAATACAGGTTTTCCTCGTATCCAAACTGTTTGACAAAGTGAGAAAAAAGGAGGGGGGCGCTTGTTTGATATTGTGGTCTAGGGGATGGCGCCTATTTGGGGAGGGAGCTTATTGGGGCGTGGGTGGTTACTTCAGGAAATACAGTATTACGTATATCTAAAAATGATTTTCAGTTGACTGTGAAAGTTTATTATGTAATCATCTTTTCCCCTTGATCAGTTCAAAACTAAACTCAATTTTCAATTTTCATACGACCAGCTAGGCCCATTATCTTTGTTTTTACTACCTTTGGGCCGACTGAGTTTCCTCTACCATTGACGCTGGTTGTAAATTATCCTTGAGCTCAAAAATAAGGGTTCGGTTTGTGTTACGTATGGCGTCCTTGGGTACTATCACCAGAATCCCCCATTTGTGAAATGTTAAATTTGGTGCCACGATTCCCAGTCAATCCTTCACCTCTAACGGTTTCCTGCAAAATGGAAAACCGGCACAAGGTTTATACCAACTTGTAGATGTGACCATGATCAATGTTGTGTTCCCTGAAGTATAAGGGGGAGAAGGGAACAAAGGACGTATTTTACAGATAGAGATGCCTGAAATACATGAAATACGTTCGAGGTAACCGAGTTTGAGTTTGCAGCGTTCTAAAACGAGACTCAGTCATCGTTTCAGTGGTCAGAATGAATAATTCCAGATCTGTTTCCTTTTCCACAATGCAAGGTAGAAGAGCAGTTATATATACTAGGGTGGTGGCACATTCAATTTTACGCAAAATTGTATTTATTTGTTTGATTGTTATGTTTATGTCAACATCTAGAAAAGTTTTTCAGAAGGCTCTCGTGCTCTTTCACTAAAGTGGAGGAGAATGCTATAATTGGCATATTGAGAAAAGACGTTTGTGCTTGATACCGACTGGGAATTAAATGTTTTGAAAATTTTCATCTTAAAAAAACTTAGAAAATTGCTTTGTAAGAATTACAGAAAGGATCTCTCATTTTCTAGTGTTGACAGAATAATACTTGCTCATAATCTTAATTTAAGTCACTTTGGTAACATGTTGATAACCATAGTTGATTTTAGTCGATAAACTGATTTTGGTCGCTATTTGTATTTGTTTTGTTGTTGTCTTGTAGTGTTGACAGAATAATTACTTGCTCATAATCTTAATTTAAGCCATAACTCTGAAATTCCTTTGCAATTAGTGATGTTCAGTGGGCATTACATTTAAGTTCATCTAATCATTAACGCTCATCTGATCATTACATATAATTACTTTTTTTTATTTGTCCAAGAATTAATACACGGGGCATTTGTCCAGCTCTTGAAGAACTAAAAAATCCATTCTCTGTGATACATTATATATAAATACGGCGAATTTAACGAAATGAATGACAAAATTATTTTGAGCGTTTTTTTGACACTGCTGTAGTTGTATTCAATTTAACTTAAATTTAAACACCAGACACGACAACTCAGTAAACATGAAATAAACAGCCTGTTTATAGTGTTTATTTCACCCATAATATTCACCGGCCTGTTCTTGTATTTCTTGGAGATATCTTGAGAAATCTGAAAGAGGAGAGTGGATAACGATGAAGACTTGGTTGAAAAGGCGGCAAGATACATATTTTACATAATATATGATGAAACTAGTTTATCAGGTCTCATAATGGCTCTTTTGGCCTTCTTATGGGGGGGGGGCATTTTCTACCGTTTTACCAAAATGGGGTCGACGATTGGCCACAGAATAGACTGTCACGGGTAGGGGTTGGTATATCGCCAGGACTTCTGTTTCCTTCACATCCATTTTTCTTTCAGGGTAAGGCAGAAGTCAGACACATCTCAGAACAGATGACACGCAGGACCTTCACGCTAACTTGTGGAACATGGCTATACACGAGACACTCATCTTTACTAAAAGCTTTTCAACTCCTGTAATCTGAATGAAGACCTGACCTCTTCATTTTCCAAGGCGTTTTGTATCATAAGTAGCTCATGATGGCCGTTGTCCAGCAAATTGTTTTAGTGTTCAAAGCCGAGGATTCAAACACCAAATAATTAAGTAACAAATCATGACTTTCGAAGGGTTAACCATTTGCACGCTAGCCTGTAGTCCTTTGCACCGGCAGAAGATTCAGGCTACTGCTTGGAAAGTCAAATTTTCGAAACTCAACACGTACACGGCTTTTTATTTCCAAATTTATAACAAACTTCGTGCTTCCCCTGCCGCAGACATAGAAAGGACCATACCTTATTAATTAAAGTACACAAACGCTTGCTCGCGATAATATTTTTTATTTTGTGAAAGAACAAAGAAATGTACATGTGTCTCGGTACCGGAAATAAGGGAATGTTCAAATTTACTTCTCGTTTATACTACTCTCTTAGTTTTGTAGCACACAAAACCACCCTTGACTGAAGATCCTTGCGGAGTTAAACATGTAATGGGGACCCAACTTCAAATAGTTGAAGTTTGTTTGGAAGCCATTCGCTAGCCTCCTCGTACCAGGTCTGAATCCCTCCATCGTTTGGTCAAAATTTTGGGTTTAGCCTCACAACTGCACTTGAAAAGACGGTTTTTATGGAAATGGATCCTACAATGGAACGTAAAATGGAACCTAGGGGAGCCTGGTGAGCAGAACCCCAGCTCCTTCGGGGTCTCCCTTAATGCGTTGACTTATTGTGTTGGCGCAATGGAACTTTGAAAGCTGTGCGGTTAAGACCCCGTTTTTGTGAGTGTAAAGTTTTCCTAGTGTGAGGGGTATTTTAGACAGAAACTACTTTCGCTTATACGTTGACATAATGTTAAAAACAGCTGCCAAGATATTTTAGGCTTATCATCCACTGATCATCAATCATTAACTAACATGAAAGGAATTAGTGTTCATAAATATTTTATATAGAACTTGCGTATCTCCAGTCTTACATGTTAAAAAATGGTTTTCAATTGACTTTGAGGGTTTATCGTGTCATCACTTTTTTGTTTCTGTTGATTAGAGTAAAACTAAGTGTAGATTTTGAATTTTCATACGATCAATTAGACCCAGTATCCCTTAATTCTGCTCTTTGGACCGACTGAATTTTCGCACTTAACTTTTTATTTCGCGTGAAGCAGATTGCACATTGCACGGGCATTTGGGACAGAAAGAACAGCGGTAATCCGCATAAAAAAATGACGGATAATGACAAGGAAAAAGAACCCGAGCACCAGTGTTAAGCGAGCGCTCTTCGAACTCAGTGTAGTGTGGTTAGAGTCATTGATCAATTGTTTAAATGTTTGAAAGCCCTCAATTGATTCTCAGACACTCAGCTCTCCGATTTCTTTCACTCCTATAATTTATGGTTCAAGGATTTCCAACACAATTTTTATTTGGACGGAGCAGTCAGAAGATCTTAAAATAATTGACGTACATTTTTCAAAAAATGTCAATTATTCATCAGGAGTGACTCTTTTCCAGAACTTGATATAAGCGGAAGCACATTGTAATATTGGCTGAGATAGTTGTGGGTGATTATGCAAAACAAAAAAACTCTTCCTTAAAGATATTGTTAATTACTCGCTTCGTCGATTGGCATAAGTCCAATTTCCTAATAAATGTTTTGCATTAAAAAAGATTTTGCGTACATTATGCATAATCGAGTCTCATCAACCAAGTAAATCCCAAAGTAACTAATTCATGAACCAAAACAACTGAGAACCTCATAAATAATAAAGGAGTGGAGTATTTCAACGGAGATCAAACTTGAGCTGTCATATTTGCGTGATGTTTCCCTCATGTTTGAGAAACTCACTGTGGCTGTTCGCTAGAGTTATAACTGGTGTTTTCTGAGAACATGCTCTCTGTACTCTACTACTTCGTTGTCATTGTTTTGGCCTCCCTAATACCGGAAGGACAAGGTAAGATTTTACCACAGTTATGACTTTGTTATGGTTTGAGTATATTTCAATGTTTACCAAGGCGATAAATTACTTTTTTTTAAATTTTTTTGTTGACAACGGCTAAACTTTACAATAATCGCACGCGCTTCTCCTACTAATATCAAATGTAATGAATTATTTCATCTAAATTCAAAAAGGAGGGGCGCTTACTGGAGTATCTTAAAGCAAAGTTAACTGTAGAAATAAAACAGTCACTGTCTCTTCAATGAATTGAAGTCCAAGGACGTGTTCGACTTTTTTGATTTTGCACGATGGATAAGTTGAATACTATAAGATTGAGAGGCTTATTTGAACTCAACTGAAATGGCTTGGCTTTTTCAACTAAAAACTTTATGCAGGAGTAACGGTTTTTAATTCTTAGTGAAGAAACCTTTTAATTCGTCACAGCCAAGCAACATAACGCATTGTTAGAGTAGTGCTTAAAACTTGGCACTTAACATATTATTTGTGGAAAAACCTGACTTCTTTGCACAATCAGCTCCAAAGTTGATCTAAGTTTTGGTTCATATTTCAAAAAACCTTAATCGAAGACTGAATTTGTGTATTCGACCGAGTTGGTAGAACTATGGCATAAGTTATTAATGATCCACCCCAGAAAGAAGTTCTAACTTAGTCTGAGGCAAAACAGGTGGTTCAAATAAAATACTTGTTTAACAAAGACGATAGTTGACATTTTAGGATCTATTTCTTCTGGCATACTTATCTCCTTGGGGTGTGCATACTCGGGGGCAAATTTCAGCGTTTCGCCTTTTAGTGCTTGTGAATACACAGTATGCATAGGAAACGTTTGTTACATCTTTAGAAGTAGAGAGCCAGGACCTTGATAGTGTAAAAAGAGTTTGTCAAAATTGCTTGACGTACCATGGAGTTCATAAAGTTAAGAGGCTTGTGATTTATACGCTAGCGATTAATTTTGTTTTCTCGCGCTTTTCATAATACGCATATTGATCGAAAGCTGAAGTCACGCGACATAAAAAACAAACGCTTCTCATGAATTGATTAAAAAAAAAAACTTCACGACACGTTCCGATAATAACCTTTTTTAAAAGAACCAAACATGCTCAAACGAGAGGACCATTATTACGTGACAAACATGACTTACTCTATATATTATCAAAGTTGTTTATGGATTTCGGGAACAATCGATCGATCATGATAGCTTATCACAACCAAAGAAAGATAAACATGATAAGTCAGATTATTAATATAAATCACTCTCCTGGTGTTAAACCAAAGCAATCATTCAGAAGTAACACTGCTCTACAATTCCAGTCTCAATAGAGTTGCTCAATGTGACATAGCAACTTTCTTAATATAATCGTTCACCAGGCAACTGCCGCAATTTGAAGTTTACCAGTTTTCCAAAACCTGGCTACAGGTTGGAGAATCACACGGTTCGAACTATTGAAGTATTCGACGAGGATCTCTGCCAGTTACAATGCTATCTGGAACCTGACTGTGTCAGTTATAACTTCCATAAACTAAGACAGGCGCCTGGAACACACAAGTGTGATCTGAATAACGCGACCATTGAACACAATGGAGAACTGGTAAAAAGCGAAAGTCACATTTACCGCGGAGCTGAGGTGAGGATGACGTTTTTAAGCTAAGAGTATAATTCTCCTTCCACCCACCAGAATATAGGTTACGACAGTTGAACGTTTAAAATTTTGAAAAAAAGAATTAAGAGAGGCATATTTTGTTATTTAAGAATGACCACTTCTGGAGCTGTTTTTATACATTTATAGGATACAAGCAGATTTTGCTCTCGCTCTAAACAGTGCCACGCTTGGAACGGGGAAAAGCTTGCGCGGAATACATGGACATGATGGAAGACGCGTAGATTTCACAAACTTGCATAACATTCGGAACTCGCAAACATGAATGCACGCACAGAAGACAAACACAAAAATTTAAGCGGTCGTATTCTTTTTCTTCTTAAGAATGCTTGCGCCAGTAATCCTTGCAGAAATAATGCAACATGCCAAGCTGGCTTTACACACAGAGATTATCAGTGTTTGTGTGCTTTTGGATCTGGATTCGAAGGCCACGATTGTGATAGAGGTGAGGAATCCTATATTTTTTGTAGTCAGTAAAATGAGTGTGTGGCCATTTCTTATCTGACAACGGGAACGTTAGCATGAAGGCGAAAACACTTGTGGCCAGAACACGTCAAATACACACAAACCCTTACATAAATATGGCGCTCATTTTGTTGTCTCAGACATAGATGACTGTTCTAGTGAAACAAACGGCTGTGATGAGAATGCGGAGTGTAACAATACCCTGGGATCTTACAAGTGCATCTGTAAAGATGGATTTCATGGGAATGGAACTAACTGCAAAGGTAATTTAGTTGTCTCAAGTGAGTTGACGATAAAATAGGCCACTGTTGCGAGTTTAAAATCTAAAGTTTCTAGCGCTATTCCTTTGTCAGAGCAAATGGGGGAATTACGGGTTGTGTGTCTGTTTACATGCGGAATATGGAGTTACACTATTGACGGGAACATGGTAACGAGAAAGTTAGAATAAAGTAGCTGACTATAACATCCCAAAAATCTACTAAAGCAAACAAACGAGAAAACAATAAAACTACAAAATACAAGATAACAAAATAAAAACAGGTTTCGTACAAAAGATGCTTCTTTTTTTAATTCTCTAGACTTGAACGAATGTGCTGACGGAACACACGACTGTGATGTGAATGCTGAGTGTAACAATACCCTGGGATCGTACAACTGCATGTGTAAAGATGGGTTTCATGGAAATGGAACTAACTGCAAAGGTAATTTGGTATCATCAAGTGAGTTGATAACGTAAAATAGGCCACTATTGTGAGTTTAAAATCTGAAGTTTCGAGCGTTAGTCCTTCGTCAGAGCGAATGGGGGAATTGTGGGTTGTGTCTGTTTGTATGCAGAATGTGGAGTCATGCTATTGGTGGGAACACGGTAACAATACAACAAAAATAAAATAGTTAACTCTAAGATCTCAAAAATTAATTAAAGCAAACAAACGAGAAACAACAACACCACAAAACACAAGATAACAAAATAAAAACAGGTTCCGCACAAAAGATGCTCCTTTTTTTAATTCTCTAGACTTGGACGAATGTGCTGACGGAACACACGACTGTGATGTGAATGCTGAGTGTAAAAGTACCCTGGGATCGTACACGTGTAAAGATGGATTTCGTGGAAATGGAACCAAATGCATAGGTAACTGCTATTTTATCATTCTCTCTTATATCTCCTTATTGATGATGGAGATATTCTTAACTACCCACCGAGTTACGTCTCTTATGCTGATGAGCTCGTACTGCTTAGCCTGCTGCCGGTAGAATACCATACAGAAATTGGGGACATTATACTCTTGTACAAGTTTAAGTCTGGTGCTTAAACTTGTACAAGAGTGTAATGTCCCTAATTTCTGTATGGTATTCTACTGGCAGCAGGCCCAGCAGTACGAGCCCATCAGTATAAGAGACGTAACCCGGTGCGTAGCTAAGAATAAACTTAGTTAGACACCTTTAGGTGTTCTCAATTAATGCTCCATGTATGATGGTATAAGGAGACCATAGGCACGAGCATTATTCAAGTTTGGGTCTGACCAGAGGACAGCAATGCAGCTTCCTTATCTAAACGTCATTGATATCGCGGCAAACTCGCCTGATTTGCAAAGGGTTTTGTTGGACTTTGAGGTGATTTCTTCTGCATGCTCTGCCCATTGGAGATCACGGGAATCAGTGATGCTTATATCTTAAGCTTAAAGTACACACTCGAGCGATGTCCATCAAGGTCAACCAGGAGTTTTGGAGCGTTGAAAACTGTGCAGCTTGGTGAATTCACCAGTTTCCGAGGAGTTACCAGCGAGAGTGAAAGCATATTTGCGGTTGAAAGTAGATTCTATGTTCATTACCAGAGCCAGTGCGAAGATAGTGTTATGAAGATATAGTTATTAATGGGTTCGGAAGAAAATGATCAATTCAGTCAGTCTTGCTTGTTAGTCGGATTTTCTGGAAATTTTTGCTTCGTTATCTTATTCTGCCGAATTTACAGGAATATTTTTTCTAAGCGGTAGTGTGCAATATTGGCAATACCCAAAACAATTTACACTTTCTTAGCAGTACGATAACTTTCCCTTTCATTTTGCGATTATTATACAGGATTTACAGCAATATTTACAACTCTTGGTATGAGTGGACGTACTGGTCCAGTCCAAATTGGAAATCACTACACAGGTCAGGATCACGACAGGCAAGTTACATTGTCCAGCGGTATTCAACAATGGACTGTGCCACACACTGGCGAATACAGAATAGAAGCAATAGGAGCCTCAGGGGGGTACGGTGAGGACAGTATCATCAAGAACGGTGGAAGAGGGGCACGAATGATTGGAAACTTTATTTTGACCAAAGATGACATCATTCATATACTTGTTGGTCAAAAAGGGAAAAAAGGGAAGCATAGCTTTAAAACTGCTGGAGGTGGTGGAGGTACATTTGTTGTGAGACGAAACAACACGCCTTTAATCATAGCTGGAGGTGGAGGGGGAATCAAAAATATGTCAGAACAACATCCGGGATGTGATGCGTCCATAAATACCACTGCAAATGCAGGGAACAACTCGCCGCTGGGGTCAGGTGGAATAGAAGGACAAGGAAGACTTTTTAATGGTATGAATTCTGGTTGGTGGAGAATTTCCTTTTTATAAATGAGAAACTCGTTGCATTCTACTGCCATCCCTCACTATCTCCAACCCAATGATAAAGTAAGTCGCAGATAATCAGATTTTGAAGAATTTATAAAAACCGTAATTATCAAATTTTATGTTTATTTTCTTTCACGACTCTTTTGGAAGCTAGCGCCTCATACGAGACTTAAGATTCTGTTAAATTTTGCTCTTTTCTTTTCAAATTTCCTACATATTTAGTGAATTACCACAGAAAATGACATCGAAGAACTTGACAAGGCTTCTCATTTCTTAATTGCGGATCTGGATTAAACAGAAGAACTAAATAAAGAGTCAATTGCAGCATTTTTACGCTGACTTGTCCTCATAGGCTTTTTTGTTGCTAACAATCTACACTAATTAAACTCCAAAAATCAATAGCTAAAGTAAGTTTCGGAACACAGCGGATCGTCGTTTGATGGTAAGAAATTAAATTTATGGGTGCTATTTGTGAGAGAATCACTGATCACTTTTTGATCGTACTGTAGGTGGTGGTGGCGGCGGCTTCCATCGTAATGGACATGATGCAACGAGCCTCATTGATAAAGGGGGAAAAGGAGGTTCAGGATATCTTCAGGGAGGAGAGGGTGGAAAGTTTTCCAGTGGGTTCGGAGGTGGCGGTGGTTTACTTACTTTCAACAAAGGACCCGGCGGTGGTGGTGGTTACACTGGGGGAAGTGGCGGGGCTAATGATGATATTTCCTGTGGAGGAGGGGGAGGATCTTTTAACAATGGAACAAATCAACAAAATGAATGTTGCAATAATAGCGCTGGTCATGGTTGGGTAAATATTACATTTCTCCAATGAAGAGCACATAGCGTGCACAGAAAAAAGTTGTAGGTCAGTTCTTCATATTTTTGTGCATTTCAATCACCTATTTCCTCGAATAATCCCCGGGCTCTTAATTAAAATCTAAGCTTAAGGGGGGGGGGCGCTTATTAAGAAACTATTCTAGCAGAAGCTTAAAAAGTTACATACGAAATAGAAACAGACAAAGGTTTTCCTCGTATCCAAACTGTTTGACAAAGTGAGAAAAAAGGAGGGGAGCGCTTGTTTGATTTTAGGGGCTAGTGGGTGGCCGCTTATTGGGGGAGGAGGCTCGTTGAAGCGTGGGTGGTTATTCGAGGAATACGGTATTACATATATCTAAAAATGATTTTCAGTTGACCAAGAAAGTTTATTATGGAATCCCTTTTTTTCCTTGATCAGCTCAAAACTAAACTCAATTTTCAATTTTCATACGACCAGTTAGGCCCACTTTCTTTGTTTTTCCGCCCTTTGGGCCGACTGAATTTCCTTTACCATTGGCGCTGGTTGTAAATTATCCTCAAAAATAGGGGTTTGGTTTGTGTTACGTATGGCGTTCTTGGTTACTATCACCGAAATTCCCATGTTAAATGTTAAATTTAGTGTTACGATTTCCAATCAATTGGAAAACGTAAAAAAAAAACGAGACTCAGTCATCGTCTCAGTGGTCAGGATGAATAATTCCAGATCTGTTTCTTGTTCCATAATGCAGGGTACAAGAGCAATTATACATACCAAGGTGATGGCAAGTTCAATTTTACGCAAAATCTTACCTAGTTGTTAGATTGTTTTTTTTATGTCAACATTTAGAACGGTTTTTCAGAAAGCTCTTGTGCTCTTTCACTAAAGTGGAAGAGAATGCTATAATTGGCACACAGAGAAAGGACGTTTGTGCTTGATAACGACTAGAAATCAAATGTTTTTGAAAATTTTCATGTAAAAAATCTTAGAGAATTGCTTTGTAGGAGTTATAGAAAGGATCTCTCAGTTTTTAGTGTTGACAGAATAGTACTTGCTCATAACCTTAATTAAAGTCACTATGGTAACATGCGGATAACCACAGTTGATTGTAGTCAATAAACTGATTTTTATTCGCCATTGATAGTTGTTTTGTTGTTGTTTTGTCAGAACTCTGATTGTAGTGTTGAGACTTCTGTAGTGTCCCAGCGAAATTCCTTTGCAATTGGCTATCTTCAAAAGGGCACAATAACTAGCAAGAAGATGGGTTACTTTCAGTCTCCTTCGCAGCCATTCTCTGAACGTAAGAGACTGGGCGACCTATAACTACCGCGAATTTAACGAAATGAATGACAAAATTATTTTAAGCGTTTTTTTGACACTGCTGTAGTCGTATCAAATTTAACCTAAATTTAAACACCGACAACTGTTTCCCCCTCCCATGGGCCAAAAAAGACAACACAGTAAACATGAAATAAACAGCCTGTTTCTAAATAGTGTTGATTTTACCCATAACATTCACCGGCCTGTTCTTGTATTTCTCGGAGATTTCTTAAGAAATCTGAAAGAGGAAAATGGATAATGATAACGACATGGTTGAAAAGGCGGCAAGATACATATTTTACACAATATATGATGAAACTAGTTTATCTGGTCTCGCAATGGCTCTTTCGGCCTTGGTATCGACAATTGGCCACAGAATAGACTGTCACGAGTAGGGGTTGGTATATTATCAGGACTTCTGTTTCCTTCACTTCCTTTCAACTTTCAGAGTGTGGCAGAAGTCAGAGACATCTCAGAGCAGGTTACACGCAGGACCTTCACGCAAACTTGTGGAACATGTCTGTACTCGAGATGCACATATTTACTAAAAGCTTTTTAACTCCTGTCTTCTGAAATAAGACGTGGCCTATTACTCTCCCAAGGCGTTATGTGTCATAAGTAGCTCATGATGGCCGTAGTCCTGCAACAAACAAATAATCAAATGACAAATTATGACTTTCGAAGGGTTAGCGCACGCTGGCATTTAGTCCTTTGCACCGGCAGACGATTCAAGCTACTGCTCGAAACGTCAAATTGTCGAAACTCAACAAGTGTACGGCTTTTTATTTCCAAATTGATAACAAACTTCGTGCTTTCCCTGCCTGCCGACACAACACAACAGATTCTACTGAAAGTAAAAACTTAGCTGTCTTACCTGTTCTTGAAGTTCTCTTGTTTTAGTTCTAATAATTTCAAGTTTAGGTTCCAAGTCTCTCTGTTCTATGGTGGCCGCCTGTCGTTTATCAGCCATCACTTTAATGGACGTTACTAATTTTTCTGAGACTTCAAGTTTTTGCCTAAGGGAATCAGCTAAGCGGTCCAGGTATCTGAAAACAGAAAGGACCCTAAGTTATAAATTAAAAATACACAAACGCTTGCTCGCAATAAATAGAGAACGGGGGCAATAAGATGGTATTCATCGACGCGAAATGGATCGACAGATCTGTTCTCGAAGGCAGTGATGAGTTCTTCCGGTAAGTGCTCGGCTGGTTCCCACGTATTTTCACTCGGGGAGTAGCTTTGCCATTGGATGAAGTACTCTGCTCTGCCTCCTTGAAATCGTTTTGCTACAATACGTTCAACTTCGTAAACACCCATAACAGTAGGTTTTACCTTCGGTCGTTATTTCGAATTAAAGCCACCGCCCCATGGCGGACATCATTCAATAATGTTGCGTAAAAGCCTGGCTGATGTCTCGCACGCTTCGAGATGTTGTTGCAAATAAGTTTTAGCAACTGATTGGATTGAATGAAACCGTACTATTTATATACATGTTTTGATTAATCAAAATGGATCCAACTGTGAATAATTATGTAACTGTTCCCTCGGCCGTCAACCTGTTCGTGGCGGCCGTTTGTTGGTTAGTTTGCTCGTTTTTTTTCTTCTGTTTGGTCGGACTGCGTTAATCGGTGGAGTAAAAGAGCGCGAGTGTGAAGTACAAGTGAGTGATATGCTTTTACTCCCGTCAATACGGATAGATTTCCATTGCCCGTTGATGGCCGCATTAACAGGTTCCACCGTAGTCTCTTTTGCAATTGTTGTTGTTGTCTTTTTTTTTGTCATCGCGTAACTCTTCTCCTTGATGGCTAAACAAGGAAAAAAAAACCCTGTTTAGCTACCAAAATTTTTCAGTGGAGTATGACAACACAAATGTCCAGTAAAAGCGAGTGACTCACGCATCGCGCTCGCTATAGAACTGTGGTTAGGCCATTTTTTCGCGCTCCTTATTCTCTTTGATACAGGGGCACGCCAAAACCACATTTAAGACAAAGATTGAATGAAATTAAAATTTCACTTGACCACAGACTAGCTGGCTTTCTGAGCACCGCTTTTTATAACCATCAGTTAGGCGTTTTTTTGTTGTCAGTCCGCAACCGCAAGCCTTTCGCACTCGAAAACCGCCTAATCGCAAGTTACGCTTTTTAAATCGCCTATTCTTCAGCACACTATTTTCTAACTTTTTCTATTTTCTATTTTCATGATATTAATTTTTATAACTCCGATAACATTTTGACCAACGGGAGTCTGTCAGTATATAGAAGAATTCGCTGCAAACGAATTTGCTAAACGCTTTATTAAGAGCGTGGCTATTGTCAATTATTGCTATTGTTCACTTTATTTCACCTTGAGATTTACTTTACGCATCCAACCGTTTGATTGACAGCAGCTGAAATCTGCCTACAGACTCATGTATTCTTTAAGCTATACCTGCTGACCAATCATGACCGACTAGTTCAGGATATGCAAATTATTATGATGCCCGCTGATTAAATGGGCACTGCAAGTACATGTCGC